GCAACCTGGGGGGTGGGAGAGAATATTTGTCAGTCATCTGTCAGATAAGGGGTTAATATCCAAAATATTTAAGGAACTCACACAATTCAATAGCATACACACACACACACAAAAACCCAAACAACAATAACAAAAATCTCCTAAACAACCCATTTGAAAAATCAATAGAGGAACTAAACCGACATTTTTCCAAAGAAGACATATACATGGCCAACGGGGCACCTGGGTGGCTCAGTCGGTTGAACATCTGCCTTCAGCTCAGGTCATGATCCTAGGGTCCTGGGATCGAGCCCCACATACGGCTCCCTGCTCAGAAGGGAGCCTGATTCTCCCTCTCCCTTTGCTACTCCTCCTACTTGGGCTCTCACATTCTCTCTCAAATAAAATGTTAAAAAAAAAAAAGATAAATGGCCAACAGGTACATGAAGAGATGCTCAATATCACTAATCATCAGGGAAATGCAAATCAAAATCACAGTGAGGTATTACCTCACACCTGTTAGAATGGCTATTATCCTCAAGAGAATAAGAGATAAGTGTTGGTGAGGATGTGGAGAAAAGGGAACCCATGTGTACTGCTGGTGGGAATGCAAACTGGTACGGTCAGGATGGAAAACAGTATGGAGTTTCCTCAAAAAATGAAAATAGAGCTACCATATGATCCAGCAATCCCACTACTGGGTATATATCCAAAGGAATGAAATGAGGATCTCCAAGAGCTATATGCACTCCCATGTTAATTGCAACATTATTCACAATAGCTAAGCCATGGAAACACTCAAAGTGTCCTTCTATGGATGGATAGATAAGGAAAATGTGGTATCTACACACACACACACACACACACGCACGCACGCACGCACGCACTCAGTGGAATATTCAGCTATGAGAAAGAAGGAAATTCTGCCATTTGCAGCAACATGGATGGACCTTGAGGACATTATGCTAAGTGAGATGAGAGAAGATGCACACTGTATGATATCACTTACATGTGGAATCTTAAAAAATTCAAATAATAAAAACAGAAAGGAGAAACATGGTTGCCAGAGGGTGGAGGAAATGGGGAGATGTTGGTCAAAGGATTCAAACTTCCAGTTGTAAGTTCTGGGCATCTTATGTGCAGCATGGTAATTACAGTTAACAATACTGTATTATATACTTGAAAGCTGCTTTCAAGTATACTTGGAAGTTAAATGATCTCACCACAAAAAAGAAATGGTAATTATGTGAGGTGATGGAGGTGTTAACCCTACTATGGTAATCATCTCAAAATACATGAGTATATCAGAACAACATATTGTACACTTTATGTGTATACAATATTATGTGTCAATTATATCTCATAAAGCTGGAAAAAAAGAAAAAGCATCCAGATTGCAAAGGAAGAAGTAAAACTATCTCAGTTCACAGATGACATGATATTATTCATAGGAAATCCTAAAAATAATAGAATTTTGAAAAAACTAAAGCTAATAAATTTAGCAAAGTTGCAGGACACAAATCACCACATAAAAATCAGTTGCATTTCTATACTCTTAGCAATGAGCAATCCGAAAATGTAATTAGGAAAGCAGTTCCATTTACAATAGCATCAAAGAGAATGGAATAGTTACGAATAAATTTAACCAAGGGGGTGTAAGACTTATACACTGAAAACTGCAAAACATTGTTGAAATAGTTGAAGAAGACTTAAATGAAGGGAAAGACCCTCTGTGTTCATGGATTAGAAGACTTAACATTGTTGAGACGGCAATATTCCCCAACTTGTTTTACAGATTCACTGCAATACCTATTAAAATTACAGTCTCCTTTTTTGCAGAAATGAGCAAGCTGATACTAAAATTCACATATGGAATTGCAGAGGATCTCAAACAGCCAAAACAATCTTGAAAAAGATCAAGAGTAGAGGACTCACACTTCCTGATGTCAAAATTTATGGCAAAGCAATCAAGAGTGTGATACTGAAATAGGGGTAGATATATCAATCAGTGGAACAGAATTGGGAGTCTAGAAATAAACCCATATGTCAGTTGATTTTCAATAAGGGTACCAAGAAACTATTCAGTCGGGGAAAGAATAGTCTCTTCACATCGGGTGCTGGGACCACAACTGGTTATCCACATGCTAAATAAAGAATGAAGTTGGACCCCAACCTCACACCAAATAGAACAGAGAAGTCAAATTGGATCAGATACCTAAATGTAAGGGCTACAACTGTACAGCTCTTAGAAGGAAATGCTTGGAGAGTTTAGCTGTACAATTACTGCTCTCTTAGAGCACTTCTGTGACATGTATGGTGGACTTCAGTGACTGGCTGCTCCCGTGGGTCAAGATTATCTTTCATCAGGGGCGTCTGGGTGGCTCAGTCGTTAAGTGTCTGCCTTCTGCTCAGGTCATGATCCCAGGGTCCTGGGATCGAGGCCCACATCAGGCTCCCAGGGAGCCTGCTTCTCCCTCTCCCACTCCCCCTACTTGTGTTCCCTCTCTCGCTGTGTCTCTCTCTGTCAAATAAATAAAATCTTAAAAAATAAAAAAAAGATTATCTTTCATCAGTCTGTCTCTCATGCTTTGCACAGAGTTGGTGTTCAGTAGAGTTGGCTGACCAAGCGAATGGAAGAGACAGTGACAGTGTCAGCCATACCAAGGTTTGCCAGAAAGATTTTAAATGGTCAGAAACTACTTTGGGTGTCCTTGTTGTGTGCTCGAGTCTGCAAGTACAGGTTTCTTCTCTGGGTCTTTCCTTTCTCCTTGCATTTCTCCAAAATGGAGTTTAGGGGGCATGAGAGGAGAAGAGGTTCTCCCCAGCAATAGGTAACTGCTATTTGTACATCCGATAATTTGGGCATGTAGCCAGCATTTTTAAACTTGACTCTGCTCCTGCTGCCAATATGGATATGTAGCCTGTTTTTAAAAATTAAATTCAGCTCATTCTTAATTATGGAATATTTGGACCTTAAAGTATAGGTCCAGTCTCAGTTCGAACACCTCTAATGACGGAGTTCAGTATCTCCCAAGGCAGCTATCTGTGAACTGCTCTAATGAAAGTTATAAAGTTCTTTCTTATGTTGATCAGAAAATCTTTTTCTCTAAATATCTACGGTTTCTCCAAGGAATGATGCCAAACAAGTCATACATTTGAAATAGAAATGCTTTCTCTTTCAGCCCTATGTTGATTCCTCCTGACCCAAAGTATATGTTGTTCACGCCAGCATTTTAATCTGTTATCCAGTTTGCTTCTGGGTGGTTTACACCACTGACAGTTTGTGTGAGTTCTGGGAATGCAAATGAATTTCAGTACTATTCTAGGTAAAATACAAACCAAGCTGATTTTTAAGCAGCTGCCTTTATAGAGTGATGTTGAAGTTTCTGAACTATTCCAAAATACATTTCCCACTAGATAGTACAATGCTCACATTATTTGCTTAGGTTCAGTGTTGAATTTTCTTGGTAAAGTTCAGACATACGATGCAGGTTGGCCACCATATTCTCCTGTTGATACTGTGGCATAGATTAGATCAGCCGGCTGGAACCGTATCGCAAAGTGATGTGGCCAGGAGACATAGAGAGGATGAGAGGGTTTTGAACGGGAGAAATAGTGCAGAAATGCTGGCTGAGAAGCCACGTGAGCAGGTAGGACAGGCCCTTGCCAGAGACGTGGGGGGAGGAGAGACACCCCGAAACGCACCTTGTTTCCTCCTTTGTAAGTTTTCTGAGCTAATCCTGGCATAGTGAAACTTCAAAAAAAGTAGATCTTTTGCTACAAAAGAGTAGCTATGATGATGTATTTCATTCTAAAGCTAAATAGAATCATTCAAGGAAATAATTTCTGCTTGGGATCATCCGCATCCACCCTGACTTCTGGCAAGTTCTTATTTACCCTTCAAAGTGCACATGCCACAGGGAGGCTTTTCCAACCCTGCTCTCACTCCATCCCAGGTAATCCATAACTCCCTCTTTTATGCCATTCTGTCTCCTAGACGTACTTTGTTATTGTACCATTTCACGGTATTATATTGAATTATTTATTTGTCTGCCCCACTGCACTCTGATTCCTTGACGACCCTAAGCTACATCTCATTTTTCTCCGCATGCCCAGTGCCCAGATGGGGCTCCTCGGTAACCGGCATATGGGCAGTGTATGATAAATGCTTGTTGAATAGAGTGGCAGCACAGGTAAAGTAACAGCTGTACACATTGGTAAAAGCATCATTCTCACTGGACGTGTGTTAGGCACAAATTGGAGAGTAGAAAACAAAGTTGAATAATAAGATAATCACAAATTCAAAAAAAAAATTCCTACAGACCCCGTTGTCAATGGGGTAGGTAACAGTCATCTGCATATAATTCTTTACACAGTAAGATTAATGTTATCATAGGGGTACTGTGGGTTTGGATTGGGTTATAAAGTTATAATGTTGCATGCATAAACAAAAAAAAAACATGTGTTCTTGAAATCTCTTAAATTACCAGGATTTAGGCCTTTGGAAGCTCAAATGTAATGAGTTAAGGAAGAGACTGCATTTAATTTTGACTCCCTGTGTAAAAATTGAGTGCACTGCTATGTATTTCGGAAGTCCTTTTGTTTCATGGCTGACTTAGATTGCTTGAGGAGACATTTGGGCCGAATAAAAGGAAAAAATGTGTTGTTTGTAAAGGTGATTTTAACATGGGATCCAATCTATTAAAGAAGGTGAATTATCCCTACATGTCTCCAAGCATGAGCGAAACAGCTATTGGCCTTTTATCATTTAAGCAGGGTCTAGTTTGGAAACAAAGGCTTAAACCAAATGTCCTCTCTGGAGGGCTTTTCCTCTTTTGACAGGATTTGTTCTTAGAACGAGTTTTGTTAATAAACTAATTCATTTCCTATTGTAGCTGCCCAGGGGAATCATCTTTCTTGGCAGGTGGCTTTGAAAGCACAGAAGAGATTGTCATTCTTTTTCCTTAGTTGGCATATGGGCTACTTTTGACTCTTGGACTTGTGTTTACTTATTTATTTAGGAACCTAAATTCCAAGGTGGAGAGGAGTCAGAGCTGCAGTGACACTGCTCAAGACAGAGTGAAGAGCAGACTCAGAGCAGCCCCGACCAGCAAAACCAAGGTACACCTCAGACACGGGCTTCTGGAGCCCTCCGCTCCCATCCGGTGGCTCCCTGCACACGGCCATGAAAGGACCTATTCCAGATGGGCAGAGGCACAGTGGATCCTAGTTGGAGAGTAGAAAACAAAGTTGAATAATAAGATAATCACAAATTCAAAAAAAAATTGAATTATGTTGGAGAAGTTTGCAAATAGATGTGAAGGAAGAGAGTTTGAATTAGTAGCGAAGGGTGGAATGAGGACCAGGAGAAGAACTTCTTTGAAAGTTCTAGATGAGTTTTTTTTCCCTAGAGGTTTTCCTTTCCTTTCCATTCCCTTTCCCTTTCCCTTTCCTTCCCTTTTCCCTTCTGTTCCCTTCCTATTCTTTCTCTTTCTTTTAAACTTAAATTCAATTAATTAACATGTAGTGTGTTATTAGTTTCAGAGTTAGAGTTCAGTGATTTATCAGTCTTATTCCCTATAGGTTTTCAATTTTATTAATTGTTTCAGGTGTGTAGGAATTTCTGCAGATGGTGTGCATTCTAGGTTAGGGATTTTCCCATTTCTTAGGCTCCCATCACCCTTGATCCCTTTTCTTAGCCTTCCCCTGCTGTCCTTCTACCATCTTGAAGGAACTGTGAAGAGAAAAAAATATGTCTGTATGTATGTCTATAGAATCTTTTTAACCTCTTTTAGGTTACGGCTATGACCCCAGCCTCCAACCCCATCATCGGCGTCCTCCTGTCCACCCAGAACAATCGTTGCCTCTCAGCCCCTGACTTAACAGTGGAAAAACGTCTCCCCTTCAGCTCCCTCTCATCCTTGGCTTCTCTGCATAAGCCAGAACGCTCCATCAGTCCGGAGAGCAATGATAGCATCTCCGAGGAACTAAACCATTTCAAGCCCATTGTCTGCTCACCGTGTACTCCTCCCAAGAGACTCCCCGATGGCCGAGTGCTCAGTCCCCTCATCATCAAATCAACACCCCGCAACCTCAACAGAAGCCTGCAGAAGCAGACTTCTTACGAGGCTAGTCCAAGGATCCTCAAAAAGTGGGAACAGATCTTTCAGGAGCGGCAGATCAAAAAGACCCTTTCGAAAGCCACCCTCACCTCCCTGGCTCCAGAAACAGGGGAAGACTTAGTAGTGTCTGAGGTGACCCATTCTAGCAAGGAAAAGCCACCTCTGGCTTTACAGGCGAGACTGGCCGGGGGCCAGGCCCTCTCTGAGTGGGCCGGACCCACCCCCACCGACCTCGATTATGTCCCCTCCATTAGCCAAACTAAAGCCGAACAGGGCAGCGAGAGTAAAAGGAGCTCTGAGATCCCATCGGAAACGTGCTGCTCTTCAGAACCCCGAGTGGGAGCCAGTGGGACTTCTTTGGAGAGAGAGCAGGAGGAAGGGCCGGGGCCCACCCCAGAGGCCAAGTTAGACAAAACCTGTATGAGCACAACCGTGAACATCCCAGTGGCTAATTCAGTGCTGCCCAAAAATAGTGTTCTGGGGGGGGTCCTCAAAACAAAGAAGCAGCTGAAGACGGCGAATCATTTTGATTTGCCCAATGGTGTGCTGGTGGACAGCCTAGGTGAGGAGCCGCTTCCTTCCTTGCGCCGGGGCCGGAAAAGGCACTGTAAGACCAAGCACTTGGAACAAAACGGCTCCCTTAAGAAGCTGCGGCAAAGCGGTGGGGAGGCGGGCCCGGCCTCCCGGGCCCCGGGCCTGCGGGAGATGGAGCAGAAGCTGCAGCAGGAGGAGGAGGACCGGCGGCTGGCTCTGCAGCTGCAGCGCATGTTCGACAACGAGAGGCGGACCGGGAGTCGGCGGAAAGGAAGCGTGGATCAGTATCTCCTACGGTCCAGCAATGTGGCCGGGGCCAAGTAGCGCCCCAGGAACATGTGGCCTGTTTTTAAGAGGTCTGTGGGCCTGATCATTTATCTTGAAGAGCTGAGTGTTCTCACTTTGGGTTTCTTTTCATGGCAAAACACTGTCTGCTATGGTTCTGAGAGGTTCCAGGGCCTTTGTGGTCTCTGTCCAAGGGCCCTGTGTCTCTGCCTCCCGGTGACCACGGCCAGAAGCACTCCTCACCCCTAAGTGACCCACCCCTGAGGGCGTCTGGGCCAAGTCTGGCAGCACCCACTTGGAATGAGATTCAGGAGCACAGGGGCCAGAGTTAGAGATGGTAGAGGAGATGGAGGATACCTTCTGAAACTGACAGACCTCCTGACTTCTTTCACCAGGGTCTTATTTTAAATCAGCCTTGCAGATAAAAGGGAGTTCCCTCTTTCTCAGAGAAGTGGGTCAGTGTCGCTCTTTGACAGATCCAAGAAGATCATGTTCCCCCTTCTCCTTACTTGTGCCACAAGTAAATATACCTAATGAAATCAGTTGAGTTTACCCTCCTACAAAAGTTAATTTACCTTCCCTGTGTAAAAAGTAACATCGGACCAATGTGCTGTCTAGTCGACAGACCACCTTCATGGTCAGTGTTCAGTTTGGTCTTCCCAGGAGCGCTAACATGTAAGTGGTATCAGCGCCGTTTTCGATGATGTTGGAACTGCAGGGCAGACGTTCAGGTCCTGTCATTCACTAAGTGGCGTAGCCCAGACTGACCGTTAGGGCTCCTGACAACAGATCCCAGAGATTTTCCACACTAACAGGTTGAACAGGTTGCCGTAATGGACAGCAACCCAAGGGCATGCCACGCACGGGAGCCCAGGGAAAGCTGGCTGAGCATTTGAATACTGATTGTGTAAAATCCATAGGCAGATAATTGAGATCGATGGGAACTATAAATAAATACTATGCAGTTATCCACCCTGCTCCCCCCCCACCACCACCACCTTTACAGTTTACAGCCTTCTGTTTTCTTTGGGGTGGAGGGGGCTTCCGCCCTGTGAGACAAATTACAGTTGAACTTCGTTATTACTCTCCACATGTCCAAGGGTTATCTGCAACGTTGATCTAAAATCCCAGAAATTTGCCCAGAAGTCAGGCAAGAGCAATGCTGAAACTCCATACTATGGAAACAAGGTATCTAGCTGGATGCAGCTGGTAAATTCAGTCCCATGGACCTTTGGGGTTTAATTTCCTTAGGAGCTGACACCATGTGTCTTTTGCATCCCTGGTGGTGCTTGGTGCTTCTGCCCGTCTGGGCTCATTGAGAATAGGGATTAAGAGATGATTTTAGGGAATCTCAGATGGGCTGGCATTCCCTGTGCATGTACGAGCTGTTACTATAAAGTCATGTGACTGGCATTTCAACAAAGGTTTTAGAGCTTATATATCCCAGTGTACGTTGTCCCCCTTGAGTGGCTCCAGCAGGATACTGCATAGATTTTCCAATGATGTTGCCATTGGCAAAAACATTTCTGGAACTGTCCTCAACATCTAGAAACATCTAGAAGTATAGACTCCTAAAATGTTAGAATTGGAAGGGACCTTAATGGTCATCTTTTCCAACCTCCTCCTCTTACTAAGGCAGAAACTAAGATCCAGAACGGTGACTCACCTGATCACTAGGGATTTACCGTATCACCTTCTTTTGATTCCTCTCAGGAGAATTTTGCCCCCTCTTCTCGGGGCAGATCTTTACTCTTTTGTGGTTACAGGAGGGAGAATTTTAAGTCTGAAACTAGTCAGAAGCTGTTCGAAGCCTCTAGAAGAGAAGGTCGGGCCAGAGGGGTTCAGAGTTACAAACGAGTTGTAGCTGTCAAGCAGTCGTTAGTTGGCATACGGGCCATTTCCTCGTGCTGCTCAGGAACAGCTCCCGGGGAGAAGTTCCAGAGATGTCGTAAGCATTTTGGTCCTCATTGAGATATGTGGGACCTCCTCGGTGACTGCTTTGGTGGGAGGGTCCCTCACTTGAATGTATGTGTTCTGTGTTCTGTGTGCACACGTGCAGATGTGTATTTAAAACACATGCATCCGTGCCATTCCTCTTTATTCACACCACTTCGGTTCCAGGCCCTGCCAGCCACACAGGCTTCCACAGGCTGCTGGACGGTCGGTCCCCGGGATAGCAGAGCCGGTGCTGGTCTGTGGAGGAAGGGGAGGGTGACTCACCGAACGAAGGCCCTTAGAGAACGCCCGAGGTCCTGCCATTTCCTAGAGCTGCTCGTTGGTCTGAGCGAACATCCCCGGGAGGCTCGTCCGCTCAGTGGTAGCAAAGAAGCTTCTTTTTTCCACTTGCCATCTTTCGTCTAGGTCTCCAGTCATTTAAAAAACACGTTTCAGTTGGAACTGGTTTTTGGTTTTGGAGAAAAGATAAATATTTTTAATAGAAAAAGATATATATTTTAAATATTTCCCCAAAGTCATACTTTTGTTTTAAGGAGTTGCATAGCAGTAGCAAGGAATTTTAGGTTCGGGTGCAGAGCGCAAAGCTCCCTCCTGTGAAGTGAGTGTTGCAAATGCTGGATCTAGCTTGCGGACTTTCCCGCTTGCACCTCCTGTTGTGTCTAGAGGGTCCCTGACAGTTGTTCTGCAGACTTCCGGCCAAGCAGTAGTCCTTGCTGTGGAGGCAAAGCAGTTTAGGTTAAGGAGCGACAGGGCTTACCCTCTCATCTGCTTGGCTTTGGAGGAGGAAAAAACCACTAAGGTATTATCTGTATTTTAAGATGCTTCCCGTACTTAACTAACACCTGAACACTTTCTCCTTCTGAAAAACGTCTGTGTCCTGTTGCTTGCTTGCTTGCTTGTGAAGTTTATCACAGATGGCATTGTTGACATGAATTATTTGGAGAAAGAGAAAGACAGGAAGGGAAAACAGAGTGATGGGGAGGGTTGGGGAGGGAGAACGAGAGAGACGCTAGTTCACAAAACAGACATTTCTCACAAATCATTGGAATCTGATTCACCATACAAATTTCCCATGTCCTACGAGCTCTGCTCTTTGTGTATATGCATTCTCTGTGTGTGTGGGTTTTGTTTTTTGTTATTAAAGGGGAAGTTAGGAGAGGTTGGAGGATGAAGGTCATTCTGTGGTGCCCTGAGAAGGGGGCTCTCATAGGGTGGGGAAGATCTTTGGCAACATATTCGTGACCTATTGATTGTATCTGCTGGAAGGAGTCATCGGGGCCTGTTGGGTCGGTGTCAAATCAGGGGATTAAGCACCCAGACCTTGGACCCTTTCATATAATTGCCTCTTTTTAAAAGGTTAATTCATCGTGGCTGAAGCTTCCCAGGAAAACCTTTTGTAAGTGGCTTCATTTCTTATTTTTTTAATTTAAGTTTTAGATTTTTGTCTGGAGGAAGAACTGGTGATGAATGCCTTCTGGTTTTCTTGGTTTGGGGTGGTTTTTTTGTTTTTGTTTTTGTTCATTTTCCCTAAAAGAAAAATGCCCTTAAGAGATTAAAGCTGCTTAATTAATTGCTGTCAGATTACAAAGTGACAAACTGACTAAGATGGGAAGCTGCCACTGTGCTTGACTGGTGAAACTGATGACCGAAGGCTGTGCTGTTCGCCCTTTCTGTTCCATTTAACAGACATTCCTGAGCTTCGAACTTGTGCCAACCCTGTACTGGGTCGTGGAGATACAGGATGGAAAGGACAGTCCCTGCTCTTGAGGAGCTCAGTCTCTAATGGAATGTATTTGAATGTCTGTGTGGCTGGAGTTCTGCTTCTTCATAGTGACCATCTTGGATGGCCGCATTTAAGATACTTTCCAGCATCTGGCAGGCTGCGTTGAACATTTTAGACCCCTCCCATCAGTATTTCTGAATTTGATTGCAGCACTGCTTTCCATTTCCTAAGTAATTTTACCAGAGGAGAATGAATTTTCTCCTCCAGTGACACAGGACAATAATCTCTTCAGGAGAGCTTTTACATCAGCGCCAGGAAGTGAGGCAGGGTGTGGATCATTGACATGGTCAGAGGAGGCCCACATCCCAACTCCCTGACCTCTTCACCTCTTTCGCAACCAGACCTCTCACCACAGCTGGTAGCAACTTTGGATTCCTTTTCCTTTTTTCTGCCTGGCTTTTCACTGAGATGGAAAACCAGCAGGAGAGGAAAGAAAGAAAAATTGAAGGCTGGATTATAATCATAAAATGCTATATAGCTCGAAAGGGCATGGAAATCATTCAGATCAAATTTTTCCCACCTGCTGCCCATTTTTTTCTAAGAAATAAGGAACGTGAGGTCCAGTGTCCTGTGCCCTATTTTATACTGTAGTTTCCTAGGATCTAAATAGTCCGTTTAAATTACACACACACACACACACACACACACACACACACACACACACACACTATTTGCTAATGAGGACACCCAAATGATACAGGAGGCTTTTTGTTTTAATAGCTTTTTCTTTCAAATTTTTTGTTAGAATTAAAATATACTTATATCCCCTGAACACACACCCAAATAGGGAAAACCCCACAATGTGACTAATGTGAATATGGAGTCTTGGGAAGTGATATATTTTTTTGATTGGAATAGTCATCATTTTAACCACAAAGGGTTAAAACCCAGCCAGCTCTTCATTTTTCTTTGAAAAATCAAGAACTCCTTAGGGACTTAAATCTTTCTCAGCCAGCCTTTTCCCCATCAACCTATAGAGTGGTCTTTTGGCCTGGTTTTTAGAAGTAAGCATAGTTGCTTATAAATTCTTGTGAATCAGTGACACAGGTATTTTTTTCGGGGGGGGGTCGAGATTCTAGGGAAAGCTGCTGCTGAATAGCTTTTCCTCCAAAGACGATACAGAAAATGCATCTTTCACATAATTGTTATCCACTGTAACTTTCTGAAAAGGATTGTTCTACAGAGAAAAGAGACATAAGCAGAAGTCACGACCAGCTTAGAGATTGGTTAAATTGAAGAAAAAGTGCCAAGACTGAATGTGCACATTGTTCTATGTATGATCAGTATTTTTATTCTTCCTAAGAAAAATATTTACACACTTCGCTTTGTGAGTAAGTGCTTCCTTACTGTCTTGTTAATAAGGGTGGCAGGCTCCCTCTCTGCCTTTTCTGGGGTCTTCTATCAACTAGTTGGACAAAGCCGACCTAAGGCCAGGCTTATTCGTCTTCTTCCCTCTCACGTAATCGGTAAAAACAGGCAATGCGCTCCTCAAAGATCAAGCTTTTAGAGCTGAAGAGTAGCTGTTTGGGCCCTGGGTCTGGAGGGCAGCGGTCAGAGTCTCCCTGGGTGGCCCTGTGGCCTCCACTCCAACTATGCCACCAGTGGGAGCAGGGCCCCTCCCTCCGTCGGTGGGTCCAGCCCTTCGCCTGCAGCAGAACACTTAAACTCCTGAGGAGAGAATGGAGAACTACTCGAGGGAAAAAATTATCTTAAATGCCACCTAATGGTTTTGTTTTTGTTGTTTCTCCTGATGTGCTGTTTACTCTCAATTTCTACACACACAGTTGTCCTTAGGACCTTTCCTCTTCTCACCTAGAAACAGAAAATGGGATGTATATTAGTTTCCAACCTGCTGTCTACATTAGAATTGGAGACGGGGCCTGGATCCTTGTGGACTGCCTCCTCTCCAGCTCATCACCAACAGCATCTTGACAAAGACAGACCCAGAACAGGGCAGGCCCTGTCAGGGATGCTTCTGCCAACAAAGAAATGGCACAGAATCAAATGGGACGATGTGTTGTTTGTTTAAACAGTACCAGAGTGCGTTCTTCAGTGTGTGTTTGCCTGCTTGAGGAGAGGCCCAAGTTGAACACATAGTAAAGCAAACTCATGAAAGTGAATATTCTGTTTCTAGTCAAAGTCTTAACCTCTAGAGCGCAATCACAGGCAAATCTGGGCTGAGACTAGGTGTGTTTGACTTTTGGAGCGGTCTTTGCTCTGGGAGATGCCCCACTTTGGAATGTCTTGTTTTGGCATTCAGAATGGTGGGAGAAATTAGGAGGCGAGATGGGGTTTCCGTGGTGTGCTGTGTCTGAGGTCTAAGTTAAGAATGGTCTATTCAACCATTCTGACTCCTAATGAAGGCACAAGAGTCTGAGAAAAGAACGAATGTACAGGATGAGACTATCCTTGCATATTGGGGCTATACTGAAAACATCTGATTTTGGCTTTGGAAGCACTGCTCAAGAATTCATCAAAATCCCTTTGGTGTCCGTTTCTCATCAAACACAGAACAAATGTATCGCTGTCCCATCTAAATGTGTAAAAACAATTTGAAGGACTGATGCAAGACATGCCGTACGTGGTAAACCAGCACTTAAGGGACCTTTGAAATCTGGCCCAAGACTCTTCCAAAGGACTGTCTTTAAAATGATTTGCAAGAAACAAGGCAGCTGCTTAGAGGTATATGAACAGAATCTGATTGTTCTTTGGCCTCTAAGGTAACAGAAAATGTCCTCCATGTTGCACTCATGGATTCCGATAGCCTGGTGTGGTGAAGGGGGTGCCCTCATTTACAGATGGGAAACTCTGGCCCTAACATAGCCTGGAAGTTGAGTCCTGTGACTGCAAAGCCATTGATTGCTTTTCCTGTTGCCCTAGCTCAGTCAACTCAGGGTGCTGCCATCCTCCCACTCTGGTCTTGGCTAACTCTTAAGGTTCCAGTTGCTTTCTGGGTTGGATCTTCTGGACTGGGCCTGCCAGGGATACAGAGACCAGAATCTTCCCTCTGCACCCACCATAGGGGTGGGAGGTATCCTGCAGCAGCAAGCATCATGAGACACAGTCTGCATCTAAATCAGTTCTCAGTTCCCTCTCCTGCGGCCATATCCAGCTCTCAGGGACTTACTGGCATCTTGGATAAGTGGCTAGGAGAACAGGATGGCCCTACCTAGTTTTGGAGAATTAGTGGTGGGAGAAATCATTTCTTCTGGTTTGCTCACTAGAAGGTTGGAGAAAGCTCAGAAGAGTGTGGCAGCCAGCTTCCCATCTGCTTATGAAGAAGGGAGGGGAGTGCTGGGTGAAAGCAGCCCAGGGGGTCGAAGCCTCTAGTGGCAGATGTGCTGGGGAGAGTAACTGTGCCTGCAGCAGGGAGGGCAGATGCCGCCCAAAAGACTTTCTTGATTAGTTATGAATTCATGTTCATTTGACAATTCTAGTCAGAGGCTTTACTCATTGAGATGAGGACTAGTTCGTGTCTCTTCAAAAAAGGATAAAACTCAGGAAACCAAGCAACTGAAATCTGCTCACACAAGAGCCCTCAAAGTGTGCTTTTAACACCAGAAGGACCCACAGAGATTGCAAACCGCATTGTCGCTGTGGGTAAGGTTAAATGACCTGCCCTTTATCATATAGTAAATAAGAGGGTTAAAAATCAAGCCCTGGTAATGTGATTAAGTCCAGATCACTCCGGAAATAGAAAAGAATGGACACAATTGGAAAATGTTTGTATGGCTTCCAGAGATGCAGCAATTCGCCTGCGCGGGAGGGCGGATGGGGAGACGGTGTGAGACCCTGCCTCGCATACTTCAAACAGGCACTAGGAGAGGAACTAATTTATTCAGATGCTATCTTATGTGGAATAACTGAGAAAGTTAAATAGCGTTTGGCCCGGATAGGTGTCACCTCCCTGGGATGTTCTTACGTTGGTGGAGGGCTCTGGCCTGGCCTGGCGGAGGGAGCCAATACACTCCTGAGCAAACAGCAGCGCTAGGTGTACCGAGGGACTTAGGCAGACAGCCCCAGCCCAGTGGCTAGAACTGCCTGGTAGCTTTACCAACAAAGGACGGGACAGCCTTTGGAGGGAGTGAGTTCCCTGTCAACAGGGGTGCAAGCAGGAGCTGAACGATCGGTTAGGGGACAGCAAGAGGCTTCCAGTCTCGAGGCTGGGCTAGGATGTTCCCAGGAGCCTTTCAGGCCAGAGAGCCTATGGTTGGTAAGTGTTTCTGGCTGGAAAGTGCAATCCAGTTCTCTAAGCCTGGAGCCCAGCATGGCTTACAGGGTCACTGTTGGGGCGGATTCTCCTTCCTAATGTTAGGGAAAAGGGGGTTTGGGGACCCAGGAGATCCAAGTGGTGAGTCAGCAACACACCCTGCCTGCAAGTGTCACTGCCACATAAGCCTGTACCACGTGTACCCGTCTGGGTGCCTGTGTCACTGTGATGTAACTGACACTGTAACTACATGTGCGGCCATGTGGCTGTGTGTGTGACTTGTGGGAATGCAGATGTGTGCATCTGGTATGACCGCAGCTGGCTGTAAATAGGACACTGGCCACATGTGGGAGACTGCGTGGCCAAGTAGGAGAATGAGCAGTTATTTCTATGCCCTAATAGCCTCACACTCGCAATAAGCAGACACGCCACCAGGCTTCTGTCAGACCCATGGCTGCAAGGCAAGATTCTAGCTCAAAGATCACCTTAATGGCAACTGAAGTTGGAGGAGTTTGTGCCTTGCTGAGGATCCTTAATCCTTGTGCCACTGACTCCTGGGCCCTGGGAACTGCATGCCTGCCGCCCAGGTCTGAATGCTAGATACCCCCAGGAGAGTAGCCTTAGGAGCAGAGGGAGACCATTCCCAAATGTGCATCTCTGGAGTTCAGTCCCAGTGGCCTTCTCTAGATCCATCTCTGTAGCAGGTGCTGTTTCTTGGACAGTCACAAAATGGGGCAACCCGACAGGCTACCTTGGCCAGAACCAGAGCCCAGGCTGACCTTGTACAGCCCCAGGATCCGTTCCTGAGCCGCAGTGTTTGTTTGCATATGGGACCTCAGCTGGTATCCCGGATCAGAGGACCTTAAGAAACCATGCAAGCCCTCCCCTCAGCCTGTCACGACTTTGTGGCCATCACCATCTGATAAGGAAATTCCTGATCCTCTCTCCTCCCTCCTCTCCATTTGCCCTCATCATGGGAAAAGCTGCCCAACAAAATAAAGCCTCCTTTCTGGGGCCTGGAGGACTCAGTTTTGCCCCCTACCCCAGCAACATGCACACTTTGTTGGCTGTGGATGGGTTAGTTCACTTCTTTGAGCTTTAGAGTCTGTGCTGCTTTTCTGTTCCATCAACCCCCTTGTTTTCCATCCCAGTGCTCATCACAGCTCTGTTGGACAGGTGCAACTCAGGCAGGTTTCCCAAAGGATGTGTGCATCAGCCGGGATCCTTGTCTGGCCCGGGAGGTGGGCCCGATCTACAAGAAAACATGCAGGCTACCTTGCTCTATGCACCTACTCTTTATTGCTGCCAGGCCAGGTGCTGGGTCCTGCCCAGCCTAGGGAGGGGAGGTCCTGACCAGTTCCCCACTCTCTGTGGCCAGCAGGCAAGGCCAAGCCGAGGTCTGAGGCCTGCACCTGGCCCACCTGGCCCCAAGGCACGGTCCAGGGCACGGAGCCCTGGGAGGGTGTCGGGCACAGGCGGGGCAGTGCGCATGGCCCTGTGCACAGCCCTTAGCTTTTCGAGTCGCTGGCCATGGGCTCCTGGCAGAACTCATCCATGAACTCAAGGAAGCGGCCGAACCTAGGCTGGCCCTCGCTCAGTGCTGGGCGGCCTGGGGGTGGCGCTGTGGCCCTGAACACCGTCCGCAGTGAGTAGCGCACCAGCTGCCGGTAGCGGGCCTGGAACTCCTTCAGCAGCCGCTTGGCCTCCAGGTATTGCTTCTGGTTCACCAGCCGCCGCTCAGTCCGCTGGTGCAGGACAGCTCCTGCAGGGAGAGAAGCCCAAGGGGCACCAAACTCGCTCTGGGGCCCCCCTAGCCCAAAGCAGTGGGGACTGCGTCCAGAGCGCTCCCACCCCCAAAAAGTGGGACGGAGTGAAAGGAGGATGCTACGGGGACTGAGAATGGCCTCCCCAGCTCCGGGCCGTAAGAAGCCAGCTGATTCTACCGCAGGCCTTAGTTGTGGTCTGTAACATGCTGTGTGACTCTAGGCAACTCCCTGCCTCGCTCCAGGCAGGCCTCAGCTTCTCTGTCTGCAGCGGGGGCAGGGCGGGGGCAGACGCCAAGGGCCCTCCGCCTCCTCCCGGCAGATGAGCAAACTTCCCTCTGTCTCGGGTTCTGGCCGCTGAGGACAGGGACGGGGACGGGGATGGGGACGGGCAGAGCTGTACCTAGTGGAGCCTCTGTAATGTTCTGGGGATCCCGCATGCGGACGAGGAGGTCATCCAGCAGCTGGGCTCGAGTCTTCCGTGGCGGTGGAACGGGGATCCTCTGGGCCTGACGCAAGGTAAGAGGAGCCTGTCACCCCAGTCCGGTGCTCAGCCTCTCCTGGCCTCACCTCATACAGACGCAGCAACATGCAGGAGAGCACCTGGGGGCACTGGGAAAGCACAGCCCTCAGAAGGCCGTGAGGTGACAGCCACGGCTCTACCTGGGGGCTCCCGAGGAGCCACTCACACACGCAACCAGGTGGGGTTGAACCGTGTACCCGTTTCTCCTTGGGAATGTAGTGTTTCTGAAGCGCACCCAGCCTGGGCTTGGAAGAGCAGCACAGCAGGGGGCACTTCAGCATGCGCTGCAGGGCCTGTGCATTCTTCTGGATTCCTAAGGCAGAAAGGCAAGGGTTGGGGCAAGGTACTCTTCCTCCATCTGCTGGATGCCTCCCCCAGTTTTCTCATGCCCCAGCAGCCCTGGGTGAAAGGATTTGAGAGGCCCCAAGAGGAACACACTGCCCCCATCTCTCCCTGATCTGCTGCGGTGCCAGAACCTCCATCATTCATTCAGTGAATACTCGTCCCCTGGGTGCATGGATCCTAATGGAAAAGTAGCACTAGAATGGGGAAAGGGACTGAACCCAGGGTAACCCCATTAAACACAGTGGGTTACACTGCAGGGACTGACCCCCAAGAGAGCACAGCTGAGTGCCAGTTCCTTTGAAAGCACAAGTACTGTTAACACATCAGTCTGAAATCAGGGGCTCGGAGGGAGCACTGCCCCCCTTGCCTTAAACCACAGAGAGAGGATTGGGGATGTTCAATCTGGGGCTCAGCTGGGCTGGGAAGGAGCTCAGGAATCTGGCCAGTCTGGGTAGCTGTTCATCAGACCCTTCCTGGAGACACTTTTCCAACCAGAGCAGCCAGGCCTAGACTGGCTGGAATCTCGGAACAGCCGTGGTGCCTCAAAGTCCACTGAAGGCCCAGGCCAGGGGTCCTGATATGGGAGGCTCCAAACCAGGACACCTTCAGGAGCTCTTTGACAGAGGACGACATCCTGGTCTGGAAGTGAGGCATGCCACCAGCCTTAGCTTTGCCCTGACTTGCTCTGGGCTGTGGAGAGGGCCCCCGTCTTGGAGCCATTCCCCTCACATACCCTTTGGCTCAATAAAGGCTGGATCAGGCTTGGCTGTCAGCAGCTCCTCGTAGCCATGGTACTTGCTGGGAAGGGAGGCAGTTGGGAGCTTCCTCCAAGCCCTCTTTACCTCTCTGGGAGCTGTGTGGGGTGGTCTTTGCTCTTCCTCCTTCATGGATGAATCATCCCTCTGGAGGATGGAGGAAGGCAGCTCACCCACCTGTGCCCAAAAGAAAACCAGCTTCCATTAACATGTCTAAGCATCAGCTCTGTGTGGATCCCCACCCTGGACCCCGCTAAGGGCAAGAACCAAGACCGGGTGAGAGAGGGCAGCCGTGAAAGCAGACAGTGATTGTGCACCTTGGTAAGGCCAGAGGAGAAGGGAGCACAAAGGTTCTGGGTGAGCCCAGGAAGCCCTCACCCCGCCTGCGGGGCCCGGAAGCTTCCTGGAGGAGGAAGCTCCTCCTTCCTCATGAGGCCTTAACCTGCACGAGGTCTTGAAGAAGCAGGATGGCCCCATCCCCAGGGGCTACAAGTGCTGGGGAGAGAGGCTTGCCGCAGGCCAGGAAGAGCAGGGGCCGAGCCACCCATGTAAGACCCGGCAAGGTGGATCTGGCGGTACTCTAAGTTGGTATCTTTGGGGTGTACTGTGAAGAGATGGGTGGCTGGAGCAGTAAGCAGGCCTCAGATCAGTAAGGACTTTTAAAAACCAACCTGAGGGTGTTTCTTTTGTTTTTGTTTGTATTTTCTTTATCCTCACAGCAATGGCAAAGCCACAGAGGAGTTTTAAGGGGGTGAGTGACCACTGTCTGAACTCACATTTTTAGCCTACCCTAAGGGTTTTATAAGAAACATATTTATGAGACCTGTATTTCATGTAGGGATGTTATTCATACCCTTCATGAGAGCTTGTGGCTAAGAAGAAATAGAAAATCTGAACAGATCTGTAACAAGTAGAGATCTCAACAGTTCTCACAAAGAAAAGCCAAGGGCCAGATGGCTTCACAAGTGAATTCTACTAAGCATTTGAAGAAGAATTAACACCAATCCTTCACGAACTCTTCCAAAAATTAGAAAGGGGAACACTCCCAGCTCATTCTCTCAGTTACTATCCTGAAACCAAAACTAAGGAAAGACATCACAGAAGGACAATACAGACCAATATCCCTATGAACAGAAACAGAAAAATCCTCAAAAAATACTAGCAAACCAAATTGACGACCTATAAAAAGGATTATATACCATGATCAAGTGGGACTTATTGCAGGTAGACAAGCTTGGTTAAACATCTGGAAATCAATGTGACACACCAATAGATAAAGGACGAAAACCACATGATCATTTCAGTACACACAGAAAAAGCATTTGGCAAAATCTAACACCCCTCCGTGACAAAAAAAAACCCCACTTAACTAGGGATAGAAACTTCCTCGACCAGGAAAAAAGGACATTTACGAAAAACACCCATAACTAACATCAGAATTAATGGTGAAAGACTGAAAGCTTTCTCCCTGAGATCAGGAATAAAACATGTTTGCTCTTTCTGCTTCTATTCCACACTGCACTGGAGGTCACAGCCTGGGCAATCTGGCAAGGGGAAGAAAAGCTTTTCCCATCACGGGGACTCCCAGTTGATTGTATTCCTTTGGCTCCTAGGAAGCCCAGAATTGCATTTTGGCAATATACCTCTGTTACGAGAGCAGCAGGGCAGATGAGCAGGTTAGAGTGACAGAGACCTTATTTCCTTTCCTGTCCATATTTTCCTTTCGTCCAACTTTCTCAAGCTCATTTTATTTTTTTCAAGCTCATTTTTAAATATTTACTTATACTCTGCTTTGTTCTAAAAGGTTCTGATAGAGTTCATAAAGACAGTTTTATACCGTATAAATGTGTATGTCACTCTAAGTCATCTGTGGAATAAGGGATGGATGGAGTCAGGCATAAATGTATGCATGTGCATCTTGGAAAGATCTGGCAGACTGGAGGCGTGAGATGGGAGGTGGGGAGCTGAGGAAAGGCAGTGGTACGATAGTAATGCTCGCGGGGCCCTACCAGCTCCTCCAGCCTCCTATTTCCCTTTTCCTATGTGTCACCTGTCTGCCGCCCAGACACTAAACCATCTGTGGTTTCTGCACATGCCACTTTAATTTCTGTCCTCTGTAGCCTGCTTCATGCTGTTTGCTCTGCGCAGGATGCCCTTCTGCCCATGTTTTCACCTTGTCACTGCCTACTCAGCCTGCAAAGCTCAGTTCATTAGAACCTCTTTCAGGAGCCCTCCTGGTCTGGGCAGAGGATCCTTCTTTCCCCCAGGCTCCCAGCGCCTGGGTTTCCCTTAGTCTCGGCACTGACTGCATGCATTGTTCCTGTACTCCCCCATCAGACTGAGGACATCTCGAAGGCAGGACCTTCGTCTTGGCCATCTGTATTCCCAGGACTTAGAGGCAGCATCAGAAGTGATGTGACCTTATACAGATAGGCAGAGGCAGCAGCAAACCCTTCTGAAAAACTGGTCAGAACCATGCCCCAGCCAGACCCCAGATGCTGTCTGTGCCACAGGACCATGACTTGTCTCCATGGGTATCCCTACCAGGAGCCTTGGCTCAGCGGAGCTCCCGGAGGGGCTTGCGGGGCCTGCTGGCGGGGGTGGGAGGGGGGGAGGGGGAGGGCTTCCTTCTAATTTCCGGACCTGTCTTGGACTCACTTCTGGCTGCCCACCGCAAGCCAGCTATGCCAAGGTTGTATAGGAGCCTCTGGGAGCTAGGAACAAGGCAGGGGAGCGGGGGGTGACCGGGCACCTGGGTCAAGAATATGGACTCCATGCTCCTGGTGTCCTCGTCTGACAGGTGCTCCGGGCTGAGGTGGCCAGGTCTGTTGCTGCGGTGGGACATGGTCTCTTCACTGTACACGGTGGAATCAGAGCAGATGGGAGGCAGGGGCACGAAGGTCCGGTGGGACAGGGAAAGGCCCTCCACGCCCTCGATAGGTATCTGTGACTCCAGAATACTGCTTCTGGCAGCGGAGAGCTCTTTAGTCGGCCATGCCTCAGACTCGGGGATCTCCTTTGAGGGAGACTGGACTGTGGTCACAGGGAGGTGATGGAGAATCAGAGGCCGCTTTGGCACCTTTGGGACTTGGGTTTTCACCTGTCATGGGAGAAAGGCTAGATTGGTTTGCTTCCTAATCAGAATCTCTCCTTCTGGACCTCACGGACTAAGGCTACTTGGTACCGTGATCAGGGTCCTGGATGAGGGCTCACAGCGGGGAGGGAGGGAGCCAAATCCCACTGACTGGGCATCTACAATGTGCCTGTACATGACAGATGTTGCTTGATTTACACCTTAAACTGCCCAGGAAATAATTCTCCTTATTTTATAAAAGTGGAAGCCAGGGCTCAGAGACGTAGGATGAATTGTCCGAGGTTACAGGATTATTCGGTGGCGGAGCCTGGACTGCCCGATTTCTGCCTCACTCTACATCCCTGATCATATCACTCTGGCTCTCAACAGCCTTCTTCTTCTGATCAAGGTTTAACACGGTGCCCTCGACTTTCTTCAGGGACTCCTAGGAAGACCTGGAGGAGATGGTCCTGTCTCTTATAGAAGGCCGCAGCACCAAGCCCCTTTCAGGATACTGGTCCCTATACCTTAAGTGAAGTTTCATAAGGCAAATCTCTCTCAGGGTTCAGAACCGAGGAAATAACTACTTTCCTGTTGAAATTCTCAGCTTCCTTAATTAGTGAAAGCCCGTCATTCTGGGACAGAGGATTATGTACTTAGCATTTGGCTCACTCTGATTGTGCCCCTCTCAGGCTGGCTGATGGGAAGGAGATACTCCAATCCTTAGAGGAGGCAACAAACAAGGGGAAGATGATGGAAACCTTTTGAATTTCTGTCTGTTTCTGGCTTTTAATTCTGTGCTGGTCCTCTAAGGCCTCTAGACTAGAGTTTGGCTGGACAGTGACAGGCTGCAGAGGGGGTAGGAGAATAACTGTACCGAAAGGGAACTGTAGAAAGGGAATAAGCTGGGTGGGGAATGCCCAGTCCAGCTTTTAGTTATAGGAAGGCTAAAGTTCAGGAGGGAGAAGCATTTCACAGAAATTTCTGCAATCCTTGTGATACTGTATGGCATCCCAGAAGGTAAGTCTAAGACCACCGGCTGGGGTTGGTTTGGGGGGTCAGATTGCTCTCAACATAAGGAAATGCTTCCTTATGTGTGAGATGTGTATTGTAGGCCTGGCAGCCATCCATGACTCCCACAGGTGGTTAGAACTTGCACAGGTATGGATTTGGGGGTTTATAACATATTTTTGTATCTGTTGCTTCATGCAGTCCTCTCAGCAGCTCAGGGAGGCTTGGAGTTGAGAAGCTGAAGCTCAGAGAGTGAAGCTCTTGCCCAGGTTCAGGCAGCTGTGGAAAGTGATGAAGCCGGGCTTATCCCCGGGTCTTCAGACTGATTTCTCCCCTACTTCTCCATAGCTCCTTCTCAGGGCCTCAGTTTCTCTGTCAAAGTTGGGGGTAGGATTCCATGACCTTCACAGCTTCTCCCTACTCTGGCAGCTGGGTCCCTCTGACTGTCTTGTCCCTTCTGGGTGTATCTGTGTGTAACAGACACGGAAAGGAGAAGACAATGCTAGTACCACAGACCTAACAGAAGAAATCCATGATGAGTGGGGAAGGGCACTCTCTCCCCAGGTCAGTTCACATGCAGTAAAACAGGCTCCACTTCCTCCGGGCTTGGCAGGCCTTACCTTCCTCGAGTCCTTCCGAGGCATCAAAATATGATGCTTGGCTTTTACTATCTTCTTGCTAATCAAGTGGATCCCCAGCCGCTCCTGGAGGAAGCTTTTCAGCAGTGGAGGGACCCCTGGAGCCATGATGGGGAAGATTACTATTAGCAGATATTTACTGGGGGCTTACTATGTGTCCCACACTGTTCAAACTGCCAGACATGTATTAACTTACAGTAATACATCATTATTATGTAATGAATACATCATTCTCACACCAACCCCGGGAGGTAGGTACCTATATTATTCCCATTTAATAGGTGAGGAAACTGAGGCACAGAGAGGTTAAGAAATTCGCCCAAGGCCACAAGGGTAGTGCAAAGCAAGGGTGAGAACTCTGCTGGTGTTACTCTAGGACCCAGGATTCTAAGATGCCTTCAAGGTATAGCGCTGATGCAGCACCCACTGTACCCATGACGCAGCACCCATTTCTGGACACAGCCCCTTTGAAACCTCATGCATGACCCTTTATGTTTCTCATCCCCCTCCCCTGCTCGGCCATGCCTCCCCCGTAGGCCCCTCCCCAGCTGGGAAGTAGGAAATGAGGTCACAACAGACCTGCTCTACAAAGACAGGTGTCACTTAAAGATCTCATGCAGGATCTAGCTAATTCTGTGTTCCATTCCCAGCTCTGCCTCTTTCTTGTTGTGGGACCTTGGGTAGATCATGAACCTCCCTGGTCCGCAGCATCCTTCACTGAGCATGGGGACAATGACGCCCACCTCACAAGGTTGCTGTCAGGTAAGCTGGTACATGGCAGATGGTCAGCAACATCTGTGGTTCTCTCCGTCCCCAAATGCACCATGAACCACGTCCACCCATGACCCACGGCAGAGCCCAGGGGCTCAGCATCCATGAGGTGGGGCTGAGGGTGCCCACACTGGCCCTGGGCACCGGGGTGGGGGCGCAGGTTTGTGGGCACCATACCTCGTGTATGGGCCACCAGAGGATTGTTATGAAAGATGAGCTCACAGAGCGACGGGAAAAGAGCTACTGGCAGGATGGCATCTTCCTTTGCGATCTGTAAGGAACACGGGGAAAAGCTTCAGGTTGGCACCGCCCCACCTCTGCCCAAGTGCTGCCAGGCCCCACACCGCGGGGCTACATGCTTGCTAGGGCAGGGGTAGGGCCCGGGACGTGAGGCTCCTGTACTGGACTCAGTGCTGGGCAGGGTCTGCTCCTGCGATTTCACCTGCTCACACCCACAGATCAGGATCCTGTCTGAAATTCCACATCACTGTTTCACATTTGAAAGTTAAGAATTGTTTTCTCCACACTGGAAATGTAGCCAAGACCAAGGAATGGAGATGTTGGTGACAAAATAGGAACAAGCACAAAGAGTCTGGAAGTTTGGCAGGGCAATGACTTTGACTTCAGGATACAATTTGTCTGGCACTTCACCTTCCTCAATGCAACCTCTACACACCCTGTCCGTCTGTCAACAGCACTCCTGATGGTCTCTTTCATTAAGGCCTGTTCTGGGCACTGAGCTGGGGATGGGCAGGGGGCAGGCAGTCAGGGGGTACCCATTCATCTAAGGGATAAGCCGAGCCAATGATAAGGAAGACCTCCCGGCTGTCTGGGGCCCAGAGGCTGCTCTACCCCCGTGAGGCCAACCTCTGAAGGGTGAATAATACCCAATCCTTGCTGAGCAGAGTGGCTGGAACATCCTCGGGGAGGGTGTCTATTAGCAACAGAACAGTATCAGAGGGGCCACGAGTGGGGCAGTGGCCTTTCAGATGCCTGGGCACCCTGAACATTATTGGGTTAGACTCAGGACCCGTGGAAAGCAATAAGGCCTGAGGACTGCGAGAGGGAGGGCCCTTCAGTTTGCCTTCCTCTGGAGCCCCAGTGGGTAGCACTAGATGCCCACTGGGCAATGAACCTATCCATTATCTTTCTATTCCCATCCAATCGATAAGTATTAGTGAATGCCAACATGTGTCAAGCACTAGGTTGGAAAGGAGCAAAACAGCTAGAACTCCTGCCCTCAAGGAGTGCTGCCTGGGGGGACACAGGCACTGAAGCCCTAACAGGAAGGATGGGAGCTCTGCAGCTGTAATCAGTGCCATGAGAGAGGGCGTGGGAAGTCCTTCCCTATCTCCCTGGTCCACGCAGGGAGATAGGGAAGGCTTCCCTGAGGTTTGAAGGGTGAGGAGGTAGGGACAGAACACACAGCGTAGAAACCTCTGTATTAACCGAAACTGTTCTACTTTCTGGGCACACAACCAGACTGTCTTTGTGCCTCCCAGGCAACTAGATGTGCTCATGTGACTCAGGTCATATGCAACAGGGTAGAAGGGACCATTTCTGGGCACAGCCCATTTGAAACCTCCTGAGTGACCCTCTATGCTGCTCACCCCCCTCCCGTGCTCCGACATCGACCTGCCAGATGCAGAGGAGCGAGTAAAATCCCCTTCAGGCCCTATGGGAGGACAGAGCCACAGCTGGAAGGGAGCTGGGTCTCTGCAAGATCACATGGGAGGCCCCCAGCCCACCTGGAATACCCACAGTGGATTTTGTGAAAGCAAGAAATAGACTTCTACTGCGGGAGGTCCCTGGGAATTGAAAGCGTGTGGCAGCCGCTCCCGGTGCGTGCCCCACCCAGTGTGGAGAGGAAGTGCTCCACGCAAGAAGGACCTCGCAGCGAGGAGGGGGAAAGCCAGCTGGGGGGCGGAAAGAAGGCCACTTTGATTAACAGTAGAGAGAAAATGAGGCTAGTCAGGGTCAGACAAAAGCTAGAAAGATCTTGGTCCCTGGGGACCTAATACGTGGCTTTTCAGAAATATGAGGACCTACATATGACCAGATTTGGTCACAGATTAGATATGCGTGGTGAGTAGGGACGTAAAGGAGAGAGAAATGTTAAGGACGACAGCCACATTTTGGCGTGATGGAGCTCTTCTCTAAGATCCGGGGCAATGGAAGAGCCTCAAATTTGAAGATCATTAATTCACTTTGGATACATGTACTTGAGAGGTACCTTCCAGACCTCCCAGGAGAGATTCAGGGAGGCAGTGGGTACACTGGTCTGGGGTACACAGGATACTGGTTCTGTGTTGGAACTGTAAATCTGCGAGCCACCGTTCGTGGGCAGGGGGTATGCGAAGGCATCTCAGGGAGAGAGTCTAGAGTGAGAGGAGAGGGACGGGACACGGGCCTTGAGCAGCTGGCACACCTGCTCACCAACACAAGGACGTGGCACATTCCGTCCAGGACCAGGACGTGGCACACGTCTTCTATCCAGGACCAGACGGTAAACGCTTGGGGCCTCACTGGCCACACGGGCTGTGTTGCCACTACCCCACTGTGCCGCTGTAGCACGGAAACTGCCAGAGGCAGCTCATACGTAAGTGTGATGGCTCTTTTCCAATACAACTTTAGTGATGGACTCTGAAATTTGAATTTGATATCATTTTAATGTGTCATGAAGGATTATCCTTCTTTTGATTTTTTCAACCATTTAAAAATCTAAGAATCAGTCTTAGCTTGAAGGCCACACAAAAACCAAGGTCGGCAGATAACGCCTGTGGGCCAAATCCATCCCCCCGTCCGTTTAATACAGTTTCATCAGATCACTGCTGTGCTCATCCATTTACACATTGTCCTCTGTGCTACAAGGACACGGCTGAGTAGTAGTGACAGAGTAATGTATTTATCTGGCCCTTTATAGAAAACATTTGCTGACTTTTTATCTAGACTCTAGGGAAGGAGGGAAGGAGGATGAACCTACAAAGAAGTCTAATATGTGTTGATAAATAACTATAAAATGGTGGCTAAAGAGGGTGCAGAGTCTCTTATACGCAATTCAGGTGGTCAAGAAGCACTCACAACAGAATGGGGGAGGGAGAATTAAATTTAATTTTGTCAGGATGCAAAATTCCATCCATCCAAATCAGGCAACTAAAAAGTTGAAGAAAGTTACAATTAAAACTGATAGAAAGTTGAAAGATACCCATGGCACGGATGTCATATTTTCTGTGAAATTAAGTCCCAGCTGAAAGATATGGGCTTAGGATTCTGGCTGAGGTAGTGAGGAAAATCTGGCCATCACGCTAGCCTATCCCTGTAAGGTGAGTTGAATGCCAATGATAATAAATTCAGGGTCCAATGACAACTTAATATTTCTGTCCAATTTCATTGGGTTAAGGCAAATACAACTTAATCTGTCAAATTTATGAACTAAGTAAATATTAGTTAAAGGTTGAATGAAAGTGATTATTTTACTTTTTTTTTTAGAGAGGGAGAGGGAGAGAGAGTGTGTGAGCCGGGGGAGGGGCAGAGGGAGAGGTAGAAAATCTTTTTTTTTTTAAGATTTATTTATTTATTTGAGAGAGACCGTGTGCATGTGCACAAGCTGGGGGAGGGACAGAGAGAGGGGGGAGAGAGAGAGAATCCTCAAGCAGACTTCCTGCTGAGCGTAGAGCCCAATGCAGGGCTCAATCCCAGGACTCTGAGATCACGACCTGAGCTGAAATCACGATTCGGATGCTTAACCGACTGAGCCACCCAGGTACCCCGGGATAGAGAACTTTAAGCAGGCTGCACGCCCTGACATGGGCTTGATCTCAGGACCCTGAGAGCAAGACCTAAGCCAAAATCAAGAGTCGGACCCTCAATCGACAGAGCCACCCAGGCACCCCAATGATTTTACTTTTGACACAAAACTTAATAGATTTGAGTGGATATTCTAGACATTTAAGTTCTGTTTGAACACAGAATTGGTTTTAAAATTCATAACTTTAATAAACTGAATATTAATTTCAACACAGGTAGCATGAGTATTCCTTGATGGGATCAAAACATCATTCATTCATCAAACAAACTTACTGAATACCTATCATGTATCAGGTGCTATTCCAGATGATGAGGCTATAGTTATAAGCAAAACAAAGTCCTACTCTCAAATAAACTTACATTCTGGCAGTAAACAACTGACAATAAAGAAAAAGATATATATGTTAGGTGATAACTGTCATAAAGAAAAATATAATTTAAAAACTCAAGTAAGCATATAGGAAAACGAAGAGTAGGGACGCCCAGGTGGCTCAGTCGGTTAAGCAGCTGCCTTAGGCTCAGGTCATGATCCCAGGGTCCTGGTATGGAGCCCCACATCAGGCTCCCTGCTCAGCGGGGAGCCTGCTTCTCCTTCTCCCTTGGCCTGTCTCCCCCACTCATGCTCTCTCTCTAATAAATAAAATTTAAAAAAAAAAGGAAAGTATTGCTCCCCTCCTAACAACAAGAAAAAAGAATAACTATAACATCATAACTTTTCTTGCATCTCCCAGAGAGCTAAGGTCTCAGGGCAACCATGTGGACTGGAATCTAAGGAAAGATGGGCACCTCCAAGGAGCGATGGGCCATGGACACTGGCTCCCATGTGGCAGAACATGGGAGGAAGAGATGGCAAGTGCCATAGAAGCAACTAGGAAGAAATGAGCTAAACATTTTAATGAGCCACTAAAGGCTAAGTGTGGGCCTCTTACAGTAGAAGAGAACTCTCAAGAGTTGCAGAGAGGAGGAGAATTCATGGCCACTTGTATGCAAAAGACTGGACCCAGGGAGCAAGACTGGAGAAAGCCATTCCTGGGGCATAGGCCTGGAGGAGAAGAGCCCCTGCCACTATCAGAAAGGCAGGAAGCCTTGCCACCCCTCTCCCTAGAGAACAAAAGCCTTAAGTTTCTGAGGAAGGTGAGCAAACCCTGTCAGGGCCACGGCCCTGCGTCTGGGGGAGGGGAAAAATTAAAACCTGCTGCTCCTGGGGTAGGGGCAGGAAACCAACGTGGGCCCACTACCTGAGAGGTCTCTGACTGCTTGCGGAGGGGTAGGACCACTGAGAAGGCCCATCCTTGAGACACAGGAACCCGGGGCCTACTTAAGAGTGGGGTTGGACCCTCCCTTTGGCCCTCTACCACGAGACAAGCGAGCGCTAAGTAACAAGCAAAAGCAGTCTCCTGCTTGGAGAGAGGAACACAAGTGTGGAGATAAACCCTTGTGAAGTGCAGGAGCACGGGGAAGGCTGCACGCCGAGGACAGAGCAGGAACACAGCGAAAAGTGCTCTGGCGGCCCAGCAAGAACCAACTATATGCTGTCCCCAAGAGATGGACTTGGACATCTCTTGTCAGATGGACAAAGCTACAAAGAGGCTGGAAGTAAAAGGATAGAAAGAGACTATGCAAACAGCAAGCATAAGAATCTATATTAAACTCAGACCAGACAGATAGCAAGACAAGAAATTTTGTTCAAGGCACAGGGAGACAAGTCAAAATAATATAAGGATCAACACATCAGGTAGATATAAAAATTCTAGATGTTTATGTACCTGATAGTAAAACGTCAAAACACACGCAGCAGACACTGACAGAACTAAAGGGAGAAAGAAACAGCCCTACAGTCATGACTGGGGGTGTTAACACTCTGCTCTCGATAACTGGAAGAACAAAGAGGCAAACAATAGTACGGAAATGATCTGAGTTATACTGCCAACCACCTTAACTTAACTGATATTTATAGAACACTATTCCTCAAAACTGCAGAATACACATTTTTTTCTAAGTGCACACATAACATTCACCAAGACAGAATATAGGATGGGACATAAAACAAGTTTCAATAGATGTCAGAAGAATGAAATCTTACAGGTTATGTTATTTGATCACAACAGAATTAAAGTAGAAATAATAAGTATAAGACATCTAGAAGATCTCCATATATTTGGAAACGAAGCATTTCACTTACCTAAACAACGCATGAGTAAAAGAAACCACAACAAGACTTTGAAAAGTTTAATAGAATAAAAATAAACACACAAATCATAATTTGTAGGATGCAGCTAAAACAGTGCTTAGAGAAAAAGTTATAGCTTTATATGCTTATATTAAAGAATAAAAAGGTCTAAGTCAATGATCTAAAATTACACTATTTAGGACACTAGAAAGAGAGGAACAAATTAAACTCATGTGAGTAGGACAGAAATCAAGTTAGGAGCAGAAATCAATGAAATGGGAAAATAGATAAGTAGAGAAATCTAATGAAACCAGCAGTTAGTTTAGTTTTTTCAATAAAAGACACAAGTGACCAATTTCAAGAATCAAAGAAGGACCCATAATACATCTATGGTCCACTGATTATTGACAAGGGTGAGAAGACCATTCAATGGGGGAAAGAGTAGTCTTTCTGATCAATGGTGTTGAGGAAACTGCATATCCACCACATATAAAAAAATGATGTGGGACCCTGTCTCACATCACATATAAAGATAAACTCAAAATGGATCAAAGATCTGAATGTCAAAGCTAAAATGATAAAACTCTTAGGAAGAAAAACACTTGAGGAGTTTGGCTGTACCGACTGCTTGCCTTAGAAGGAATGTAAGCAGAGTACCTTAAAAGTTGCCTACATTTCAGACTTGAGTAGAGCTCAGTTGGTGGGGTCTATAGAAGTCAAACAGTACATGGCTACTGGAAAAATATGCTAACATAAAACATGAAGGAAAAACACATTAAATTTGTCCCATGGACTTTACATCTGCTGTTACCATAGGCTAGAACATTTCCCAATTCACTCTTCCCCTCACACTTCACCTCACCACACTCACGAAACCATTCTCTTGAGAACCTTCCTTGATCCCAAATATTAGGTTAGACTGCCCCTGTCATATACTTCATAGCACTGTGAATTTCTTCCTAACACTAGGCATGCTTATATTGAGACCACTTGTCTTGTACCAGTCTTCCCTAGGGGTGATAAGCTCCAAAAAGCAAGAGGCCCAATCTTGCTTTGCACAGCTGTGTACCTAGTATGCAGGATAGGGTCTGGCACATGGTATTACATAAATATCTGTGACTGAATGGATGGACTTCGGCCTTGGTCTGCACTCTCTCCACTTCCCCCACCCTGAGAACTCCTGAGCCCACATATCTGTAATGGGGAATTATAGGGCTGGCCTTCAGGCCAGAGCAGATTGCATCCCATCCTCCCATCTTTGCCCCTGAGGAAATAGGAAGAGAAGCAGAAGAGTCACCTTATTGTAGGCCAGGCTAAGGTACCTCAGCTCTGGAAAGGGCGGGGCCAGCGTCTGGTTCCTGGCCTTCAGTGACTTCACGGGAAGAATCTCGAATATGGGAGGAAGTGCACATACCTTGGTTGCCTTAGAAGGAAAAAAGGTCTATTGTCAAAGTGTCCTGATGATAAGAAGCTGAATGCTGTCAAGGACCAAGAGACCCTTTCTATGAAGGGTAATGGAAAGAAGTGACCATTCTAGAAAGGCTTGGCCAAAAGAGACATCTAGGGTCATAATGGGAGATGTTACCAAGGGCCCAGAGTTCTGGTTCCAAGTTCTCTGAGGTCACATGATGTGCTAATTCCCCATCACCCAAAGTTCAGGTTTCAAGTGCTCTGATACCAAATGATAATATAGCAGTGATGTAGACATCAGAAGTTCTCTGCCTCCACCTCCCACTTTCTGCCCTACAGCTTATCCTGAAAAGGCCCTTCTTTACAGCTGGGCTAAAATTTCTCCAAAAGGCAAAAGGACAGTGCTTGCATTTTATTTTTTTAAAAAAGATTTTTAAATTTTTAAGTCATCTCCACACCCAGCATGGGGATTGAACTCACAACCCTGAGATCAAGGGCCCCAGCACATTCTTCTGACTGAGCGGGTGCTTGCATTTTAAAGGGGACTTTTCCTAGTGGGGAGATGGAGAGCACGAGTGACCTGAGCCTTGAGTACCTGGTCTGATGGGCTAGCTAACATCCTACAATGGAGGCTCTTCAGTCCAGGATAAATCAAGAGCTAAGTCCTGGATGACTTCAAGCAGGCCTTCAGGCCTGAATGTGACCTGGTGCACCCATGTCACTTGCAGGGTCATGGTTTTTCAGCACAACCCAGCCTGCCTCAGGATCAACATGTTTAATTAAGCAGAAAATAGAAGGTACTGGGTTAATCATGCCTGACTCAGTTCACTCACTGATTCCTTGAGTTAGATGGGACTAGAGGAAATTACAGGGTGAGATGCTGGGCTAATAACTGGGTTCAAATGAACTAGATTCTGTTCTAAGCTCCATTAATTGCTGTGTAATCTTGAGCGAGTCACTTAAATTTCACTTGTTCATTCAGTGAACAGTAGCGGAGTGCCTACTCGGAGCCAAGTATTTTGTGCCCTCCTGGGGTCCAACTCAGACACCCACACAAGTGGGACAGGTGAGTCATGGGTGAGAGTAAAACAAAAACCAGTGATGGTGCTTGTGCATGTCTGTGACTCTCCCCTCCAGGTGATCCAAATGCAATCTGCCAGAGGCCACAGTGGAAAGCGGTGGCAGTCTGGTAAGGCATTCTCTTCCACCGTGCAATTCCCTATCTGGAACAAGGCTGTGTGACCTGAAGGGGCCAAGTCAGACTGCCGCACAGAAAAGAAAGAGCCAGAGAGTGAGGCTCAGGGGTATCTAGCACTGTCCAGGGGCATGAGTGTCCTGCCCTGAAGGCATGAGGGATACACACCTGACTTTTACAGAAAGAGGCCACTATAAGTCTCCACCATCTAACACCCTGTCTACATGCTCAGATGCCAGAGCGTTGGGATCTGAGCACTGAACAACCTACCAATTCTCTTTGACTTTTGTGGCCCACTGTTTAACGGCCCCCAAGCCCCTCTATGCCGTATGTATGCCCTTCGGCAGTGTGACCTTGGTGCTCCTCTCAATCAGAGGTGGAGTCTGTGTCTCTATGCCCTCGAACGTAGACTGGCTGTGGTATAATAAAGAATTTGGTCTCTCTCCCAGGTTTTTGGCATTGAGCTTCCAAAACTCTTGGAACTTCCTGAGTGATAGGAATGTCTTTGTTATTCATGAGCCCTGGGTTCACACTTAAGTTTATGCTAATGAGACGACTCAGGATGAGGGCTGGCCACACCTGAAAGACAACCCTGCTATTAGAGAGTTGGGGTTTTGAGCCAGCCTGACCCCTGGGCTAGAGATTAAGTTCAATCCTGTGGCCAATGGTTCAGTCAGTCATGCCTATGTAATGAAACTCCAAAAAAAAGCTCCGGACACTGAGGCTTGAGTGAGTTTCCTGATTGGTGAATACATCAGATGTGCTGGGAGGGTGACACACCCAGATTCCATAGCGAGAGGGCACAAAAGCTCTGCATTTGGGACCCTCCTGGACCTCACATTATTTATCTTTTCATTTGGCTGGTTCTGATTTGTACCCTTTATAGTAAAACTGTGATCATAAGGATAGTGCTTTCCTGAGTTCTATGAGTTGTTCTAGTAAATTACTGAGCCTGAGGAGGTTGTGTGAACTCCAATATTTATAGCCAGTTTGTCATAAGTGCTGATAGTTTGGGGACCCCCAAACTTGCAGCTAGTGTCTGAAGTGAGGGCAGTCTTGTTGGGAAATGTGCCCTTCACCTGTGGGGTCTGTGCTATCTACAGGTAGCTAGCATCAGAATTGTACTGCCCTATCATACTTAATATTTGCTTTGACCAACAGAATGTGGCAGAAGGGCCACCATTTGAGTTCCAGAGCCTTGCAATTCACTCTTGCCCTCTTGGAACCCTAAGGCCACCATGCTGTAAAGAAGTCCACAATAAAAAGACTCCATATAGATGCCGAGCCATACCAGGTGTCCATGAACTCAGGCCCTAGAGAACCAGCCAGCTGCATGAATGAGCCCCGGCAAAACCAGTGGAACACCTAACCAGCCCAAATAATTGTGAGAAATAATAAATTGCTATTGTTTTAAGTCTGTAATTCTTGGGTGGGTTTGCATGTGGCAATAGTTAAATGATATAATTTCTCACCTAGCTTTATCAGTGGGGAGGGAGTACACTGAGTTGCCTCTCAAGGATGCAGGTTGGCTAAACATGTACTTATACTTCTTATTGTAAATGAATAAATCAATAGTGCATCAGTCCTCGTGAGCTTGGTTAGTAAGCATCTAACCCTGAGAGAAAAACCAATTTTCTGTCCAAAAATCAAGCATCTAAACCTGTGACGCCAAGGATCAGACCCTAGATGGTGGTATATTTGGCAAGGATGAGTGTAGCTTTTGGGGGCCCTTACTAGGGAGCCCCAAGGTTCCATCTTGGTGGCTGCCTCACTTCAATGCCAGTTTGATCACTTAAGGCAGCAACCATTCTGACTGCACACATCTGAGAACAGTGAAAGTGAGCTTGTGGGCTGTGTGAGGTCGGGGACCTGACTGTCTAGTCCACCACTGTATGTTCACAGGCCAGCACAGTGCCAGGCACATGGTAGGTATTCGGTAAATATCTCTTCAATGAACGGGCTTCTTCAGTGTGATATATATAAATGCCTCTCATAGCTTCATTAGCTTACTTTTGTTTTTTAAAATGAATGTTCTAACTTAAGGACACAAATATAAAATAGGCAGTTCCTACCTCTGAGGTTGAAAATCCAGGGTAAGATGAGAACACAACCTCTGAAACAAAAGAGAAACAGAATAAAGTCTGGTGAGTGCACTGACTGCCCCCAGAGAGGCTGGGGTCTGGGTCTCCCATCCACTGTGTACAGGAGGGTGACCCCTAGCACGGTTCTCACTGGTCCTCATCTCTCACTCTAACTGGGAGGAGGAGTTGGCTGTGATACCTGTCAGGTGGTGAGTGGCACTTAGAATAAAATCAAAACTCCTTGGCCAGGCCTCTGAGGTCCTGCCTGATCTGGCTCCCACCTAACTTCTCCAATCTTATCTCATGCCACCCTGTCCTTCACTCACTACATTTCAGCCACATTGACCTTTCTTCTGACTTTGCAACATGCAAGCTCTTTTAGCCTCAGTACTACTGGGCGGGCAGACAGTACTGATCAGAGAGGGCAAACCAACTGTCTTAGAAGAGAGAAATGTATATAAAAGATTTTCTGTCAAAGGATTTGAAAGTACTCTTTGTTATGCGAGTAGAAATAGAATATATTAAGACAGTGAATTCAGGAGAGATACTAAGAATAACCAGCAGCACAGTAGAGTAAGGAAGAGGTTGTGGAGTGATTTCATTCTTGGCATCATCGGAATGAGATCAGCCAATAAACATCAGAGTTCAACCATAAATTAAAGAACCTTCTTGGACTGGATCCAAGTAGTGCAGGCACTACTCACCATTGCCCTGGCTAATAGGTTATATTAGTGATATTATACTTCCACATGTTAATAATATACTGATAAAAGTTACATGTTAATGATATTAACATGTTATGTTAATTATATTATACTGATAAAAGTTACATGAAAACGATATTATACTTCCACATGTTAATGATATTATACTGATAAAAGTTACATGAAAACGAAGTAAACAATAAGAGGGGTAGAGCATCACATGGCCCAAATAACTTCTATGACAAACGTCTGGAAAGGATTGGAGGATGGATTTGTACAAGGAACAAAGTAGGAGTTAGCAAGAGGATGGGCCATGGTTGCAAGTGTGGCTGCTAAAGAGTGACTCCCTGGGGAGACAGGCCCTACATCTAGAAAGATGAGCCATGTATACTCTGCCTGAACGTACATCCTCTCCCTATAATCTCAGGTTAGAAAGGTTATTGGATACAAGTTCAAAATTTCTATGTACTAGCAACAAACAAGTGGAAATGTAATACAAAAAAAGCAGCACCACTGACAATAGCATTGAAAAAGACCAAATACTTAAGAACAAATCTAATGCAAGACCTCACCACTGAAGACTACAAAGCACTGATGAGAACAATTTTAAAAGACCTAAAACATGGTGGGATATATTATTTTAATGAATTAGAAAACTCAATATTGTAAAGATGTCAATTCTCTCCAAATTGGTCTACAGGATCAATACAATTCTTTTATCTTTTATTTTTATTTTTTTAGAGAGAGTGAGTGAGCAGGGGAGGGGAGGAGGGGCAGAGGACAAAGGAGAGAGAGAATCTTAAGCAGGCTCCACACCCAGCACAGAGCCCAATCTCACAACCCTGAGATCCTAACCTAAGCCGAAATCAAGAGTCGGACACTTAACTGACTGAGCCACACAGGTGCCCCTGATCAATGCAGTTCTAATCAAAATCCCAGCAGGATTTTGTGTGGAAATTGACAAGCTGATTCTAAAATTTATATACAAATGCAAAGGCTTTATAATAGCTATAGCAATTTTTAAGAACAACAATGCAGCTAAGGAACTTTACTATCAGTTCTCAAAATGTGTAACAAACTACAGTAATTTTTTTTTCTTTTTTTTTTTTTCTAGAGAGAGAGTGCATGCGCACGATCGGGGGGGGAGGGGCAGAGGGAGAGGGCGAGAGAGAATCCCAAGCAGGCTCATGCCCAGCACAGAGCCCCATGGGGGGCTCGATCTCACGACCCTGAGATCATGACCTGAGCCGAAATCAAGAAATGGATGCTCAACCGACTGAACCACTCAAGCACCCCTAAAGCTACAATAATTTAGACACATACAGAACCCACCTTACCATAATACCTCACTTACAACTCAGTGGGGAAAAGGATATAGTCTTTTCAACGAGTGGTATTGAGTCAATTAGATACCCATATAAAAAAGTAAACTTTGACTCTACTTCACATCATATACAAAACTTCTAGATAGATCATAGATCAAAATATAAAAACTAAAATACGCTTCCAGAGGAAAATATAGGAAAATATTTTCATGGCTTGAAGCAGACAAAAAATACCTGAACAGGAAATAAAAAGCACTAACCATAAAAAATTGACCTGAACTTTTATTCATCAAAATCAAGAACTTTTATTCATCAAAATTCATCCTTAAGTACACGAGAAAGCAAGCTACAGACTGTGAAAAGATTTTTGTAATATATAGATCTACAAAGGACTTGTACCTAGCACATATAAAGAACTCAAGCGAATCAACAAGAAAAGGACATATAACTAATTTAAATATAGACAAAAGACTTGAATAGGTACTTCCAAAAGAGGATATCAAAGTGAGCAATAACATATGGAAGGTACTTAAGATCATTAGTCACTTAAGAAATGCAAATTAAAACCAAAATGAGAAACCACTACATACCTACCCCAAACAGGTAGAATTAAAAAGACTGACATTACCAGAGAGAGCCAAAAAGTAACATAGACCAGAAAGGAACACAGACAATATACAGTAATAGTCACCTTACAGGTAGTGCAATGGCACTAAATTCACATCTTTCAATAGTTACCCTGAATGTAAATGGGCTGAATGCCCCAATCAAAAGACACAGGCTATCAGATTGGATAAAAAAACAAGACCCATCGACATGCTGTCTGCAAGAGACTCATTTTAGACCCAAAGCCACCCCCAGATTGAAAGTGAGGGGGTGGAAAACCATTTACCATGCTAATGGACACCAAAAGAAAGCTGGGGTGGCAATCCTTATATCAGACAAATTAGATTTTAAACCAAAGACTGTAATAAGAGATGAGGAAGGACAATGTATCTTACTTAAAGGGTCTATCCAACAAGAAGATCTAACAATTGTAAATATCTATGCCCCTAACATGGGAGCAGCCAATTATATAAGCCAATTAATAACAAAAGCAAAGAAACACATCGACAACAATACAATAATAGTGGGGGACTTTAACACCTCCCTCACTGAAATGGACAGATCATCTAAGCAAAAGATCAACAAGGAAATAAAGACTTTAAATGACACACTGGACCAAATGGACTTCACAGATATATTCAGAATATTCCATCCAAAAGCAACAGAATACACATTCTTCTCTAGTGCCCATGGAACATTCTCCAGAATACATAACATCCTAGGTCACAGATCAGGTCCCAACCAGTACCAAAAGATTGGGATCATTCCCTGCATATTTTCAGACAATGCTTTGAAACTAGAACTCAATCACAAGAGGACAGTCGGAAAGAACTCAAATACATGGAGGCTAAAGAGCATCCTACTAAAGAATGAATGGGTCAACCAGGAAATTAAAGAAGAATTTAAAAAATTTATGGAAACAAATGAAAATGAAAACACAACTGTTCAAAATCTTTGGGATCCAGCAAAGGCAGTCCTCAGAGGAAAGTATATAGCAATACAAGCCTTTCTCAAGAAACAAGAAAGGTCTCAAATACACAACCTAACCCTATACCTAAAGGAGCTGGAGAAAGAACAACAAATAAAGCCTAAACCCAGCAGGAGAAGAGAAATAATAAAGATCAGAGCAGAAATCAATGAAACAGAAACCAAAAGAACAGTAGAACAGATCAATGAAACTAGGAGCCGGTTCTTTGAAAGAATTAACAAGATTGATAAACCCCTGGCCAGACTTATCAAAAAGAAAAGAGAAATGACCCAAATAAATAAAATCATGAATGAAAGAGGAGAGATCACAACCAACACCAAAGAAATACAAACAATTATAAGAACATATTATGAGCAACTCTATGGCAGCAAATTAGATAATCTGGAAGAAATGGATGCATTCCTAGAGATGCATCAAATACCAAAACTGAACCAGGAAGAAATAGAAAACCTGAACAGACCTATAACCACTAAGGAAATTGAAGCAGTAATCAAAAATCTCCCAACAAACAACAGCCCAGGACCAGAAGGCTTCCCAGGGGAATTCTACCAAACATTTCAAGAAGAATTAATATCTATTCTTCTGAAACTGTTCCAAAAAATAGAAATGGAAAAGGAAAACTTCCAAACTCGTTTTATGAGGCCGCCATTACCTGATCCCAAAACCAGACAAAGACCCCATCAAAAAGGAGAATTACAGACCAATAGCCTTGATGAACATGGATGCAAAAATTCTCACCAAAATACTAGCCAATAGGATCCAACAATAGATGAAAGGGATTATTCACCATGACCAAGTGAGATTTATCCCTGGGCTGCAAGGTTGGTTCAACATCTGCAAATCAATCAATGTGATACAATACATTAATAAAAGAAAGAACAAGAATCATATCATCCTCTCAATAGATGCAGAAAAAGCATTTGACAAAGGACAGCATCCTTTCTTGATCAAAACTCTTCAGAGTATAGGGATAGAGGGTACAAACCTCAATATCATAAAAGCCATCGATGAAAAACCCACAGCGAATATCATTCTCAATGGGGAAAAACTGAGAGCTTTCCCCCTAAGGTCAAGAACACAACAGGGATGTCCACTATCACCACTGCTATTCAACATAGTATTAGAAGTCGTAGCCACAGCAATCAGACAACAAAAAGAAATAAAAGGCATCCAAATCAGCAAAGAAGTCAAACTCTCACTCTTTGCAGATGATATGATACTTTATGTGGAAAACCCAAAAGATTTCACCCCAAAACTGCTAGGACTCATACAGGAATTCAAGCTCTATTACAAAGCTGTAATCACCAAGACAGTATGGTACTGGCACAAAAACAGACACATATATCAATGGAACCAGAATAGAGAGCCCAGAAATAGACCCTCAACTCTATGGTCAACTAATCTTTGACAAAGCAGGAAAGAATGTCCAATGGAAAAAAGACAGTCTCTTCAACAAATGGTGTTGGAAAAATTGGACAGCCACGTACAGAAGAATGAAACTGGACCATTTCCTTACACCACACACAAAAATAGACTCAAAATGGTTGAAAGACCTAAATGTGAGACAGGAGTCCATCAAAATCCTAAAGGAGAACACAGGCAGCAACCTATTCGACCTCAGCCGCAGCAACTTCTTCCTAGAAACATCACCAAAGGCAAGGGAAGCAAGGGCAAAAATGAACTATTGGGACTTCATCAAGATAAAAAGCTTTTGCACAGCAAAAGAAACAGTCCACAAAACCAAAAGACAACCGACAGAATGGGAGAAGATATTTGCAAATGACATATCAGATACAGGGCTAGTATCCAAAATCTATAAAGAACTTATCACACTCAATATCAAGAAATGGGCAGAAGACATGAACAGACATTTTTCCAAAGAAGACATCCAAATGGCCAACAGACACATGAAAAAGTGCTCAACATCGCTCGGCATCAGGGAAATTTAAATCAAAACCTCAATGAGATACCACCTCACACCAGTCGGAATGGCTAAAATTAACAAGTCAGGAAACGAGAGGTGTTGGCTGGGATGCGGAGAAAGGGGAACCCTCCTACACTGTTGGTGGGAATGCAAGCTGGTGCAGCCACTCTGGAAAACAGTATGGTGGTTCCTCAAACAGTTGAAAATAGAGCTACCGTATCTCCCAACAATTGCACTACTGGGTATTTACCCCGAAGATACAAATGTAGGGATCCGAAGGGGTACATGCACCCCAATGTTTATAGCAGCAACGTCCACAATAGCCAAACTGTGGAAAGAGCCAAGATGTCCCTCGACAGATGAACGGATGAAGAGGATGGAAAGAACCTGAATAAACAAACTAAGGGTTCTAGAGGGGAGGGGGTTGGGGGGATGGGTTAGCCTCATGATGGGTACACACACACACACACACACACACACACACACACACACACACACAATGGAATATTATGCAGCCATCAAAAGGAATGAGATCTTGCCATTTGCAACGACATGGATGGAACTGGAGGGTGTTATGCTGAGTGAAATAAGTCAATCAGACAAAGTCATGTATCATATGATCTCACTGATATGAGGAATTCTTAATCTCAGGAGACAAACTGAGGGTTGCTGGAGTGGTGGGGGGTGGGAAGGACGGGGTGGCTGGGTGATAGACATTGGGGAGGGTATGTGCTATGGTGAGTGCTGTGAATTGTGTAAGACTGATGAATCACAGACCTGTACCTCTGAAACAAACAATACATTATATGTTAAAAAAAAAAAAAAAAGAAGATAGCAGGAAGGGAAGAATGAAGTGGGGGAAATCAGAGGGGGAGATGAACCATGAGAAACTATGGACTCTGAGAAACAAACAGGGTTCTAGAGGGGAGGGGGTCGGGGGATGGGTTAGCCTCGTGATGGGTATTAAAGAGGGCACATACTGCATAGAGCACTGGGTGTTATACGCAAACAATGAATCATGGAACACTACATCAAAAACTAATGATGTAATGTATGGTGATTAACATAACATAATAATAAAAAAAAAAGACTGACATTACCAAGTGTTTATGAGGATATGGAACAACTGGAAATGAAATCTCTTACCTTAATATGGGGATCAAAACTGTACAACTGCACTGGAAAAATACTTGGCAGTTTTTACTAATGTTAGGCATACTTTTATACTCTATGACACAACAATTCCATTCCTGGGTATATACCCAATAGAAACGAGTGCTTAAGTCCACCAAAAGAGGTAAAAGAATATTCATAGTAGCTTTATCCATAATAGCCTCAAACTAAAAATAACCAAAATGTCTATCAACAGTAAGAAGGATAAATAACTTGGAATACATAAGAGAAATGAAAAATAGTGAACTACCAATATATGCAACAGCATGAATGAATCGGACAGACATAATGTTGAGTGAAATAAATCTGACACAAAAGAGCACATGCTGTATAATTCAGTATTCATAAATTTCAAATCAGGCAAAACCTATAGCTGGTGATAGAAGTCAGAGTGGTGATTATTCTTGGAGGAGGTACTAATCAGGAGGATACCACATGGGATGCTGGAAATGTTCTATGTTGTAATATGGGTGGTGGTTAGAAGGATATATGTATGTATGTAACAATTCAAGCTATACACAATATTTCTATATTTTTACTTTATGTTGGTTACTTCTCAATTTAAAATAAATATTAAGAAAACAGTAATCGATAACTAGATCAGTAAAGCAGAATATATAATCCAGAAACATACTCATGTAATAGAGATTTTGGTTTATAATAAAGGTGACATTCCTTTCCTTTTCTGTCTCTAAAGTTGCCATTTGGATACAGTTCTTGGCACCATGGTAGTGCTCTTGAGACCTCAATGGGGACCAGCCTACAAGGACAAGCAAGCAGGCCAAGGATGGCAGAAAAGAAGATGGAAAGAACCTGAATCCCTTGAGAATATCAGTGCACCCCAGAATTAGCCATCTCTGGAAAGTCTTACTTCTGAGTTTCTTGTTATTTGAGATTTTTAAAAATCTACTTTTAACTGGATTTTAAAAGTATCTTAACAGAGAATCAGTTAGGAAGTCATTGAAATAATTCATGGGAGACCTCCACCTTTCCAGGCCGAACAGCTTCAGCACATCAGCTCCTCAGGGAGCCACAGACTTTCAGAATAAGCTCTCAGAAGCTTATTCCCACCATGGGGCTTGAGTCCCTGGAACAAGGGGCATCACTCACCTGTCCGGTCAACATCCTTTTTCATGGGCAGTACAGTATAATCTGGTTGCTCGTCTGAGACCTCAAACATCCACGGCTTGGGCTGTCTCATGGAATGGGGCTCTTTCTGGGGACTCCCCCTGCTTCCAACCCAGTCCCCTGACCCGTCTCGGAGCTGAAACTGCTGTAGGTATGGGATCCGGAAAATCCTGTTTTGGTCCAGGCTTAACTTCTTCAGTCTTCAATTAAGGAAAGTGAATACAGAATCACAGCAATAATGATACCTCAGCGGCATTTACCAAACAACTTTAGGGAAAGAACATGGATTCAGGCTTGGACACTTACTCTTCTGGTGTGACCTTGAGCCAGCGACTTACCCTCTCTGGGCCTCAATATCCCTATCTCTAAAATGGGGATAATATTCATTAACCTTTCAAGGTTCCTATGGAGATGAATAAGACAATATAAATGGCCCAGCACAAAGTAGTATTCAGTAAATGGCAGTTGAATCCAAAGTAAATTTTCCAGGGATCTAAAGCTTAACCATTTAAATGCCAGCATTTTCATTACTTTAATCAAATAGGTAGAATTCAGTAGTTAACCTTATCTTTCTGATTCCAATTTTTTTTTTCTGTCCCCTCTATCAGGGGTCAGGAGCCTATCTCTGGTAATATCTCCTTTTACCCTCCTTTCTCTTTGCCACTTCTAATACAGTCACTTGATCAGAAATGTTCTATTGATGCCCCACTTTTATGGCTGAGCTAAAGCTCAGAGGGGAGAAGTTAATCACCCATGGCCACACAGCAGAGATAAGTGGTGGAGCTGGGATTTAAACCCAGGCCTTCTGGATTCCAGAGCAGCACGAGGGTGTGGGCCAGGCTCGGGGTGGTAGGGGGCCCTGCAGAGAGGAGATGGTGGCTTTACCTTCTGAGCCCGGCCAGGCTGGCAAAGCAATTGGGGCTGGAGAGCTTGTTGTCATCCAGCATCAGTGTCTCCAGCGCTGGGAACTTCAGGATGTACCTCCTGCTTGTCAGTGACGTTACAGATGTTTCCCTGTGAGTGCAAGGATCCTGGGTAATGAGCAAGGGCGGGGGACAAACTCCACCATCCCCAGGAAGTAGGAATGGGGATAGGAATAGAGATGGAGGACAGGGAATCAATCAAGAGGCATAACCAGCTTGGGAACTTCTCTAGTGCCCCTGAGATGTCCCTGCAGAGAGGGACCAAAAGGTCCCCCCCAACTGATCCCTTCCCCGAATCCCACTCATACATCAGTCTTCTGTATGGAGAAAGGCTGCACACATTCACAGATGGACTCAGTGAGACGGGGTTGGGGCAGGATGGGGGGCACTAGTAATGCTCACGGAAAATACCAGAATGAATGAGGCATGACCGAGTTGAGGGAAAACATTCTGCAGAAAGAATACTGTACAATTTTGGGTCAGGTCAGACTCCTGGGTATGCTGCATCACCCCAAGGATTGGTAACCATAGGAGCATCAGGAAACAGAGCCCTTGGCAGGGACCACAGCTTTGATTCATGTGGGGTAAGGTAGGCTGGCCGCAGTGAGGCTCTCCTCTAAAGAGACTTAATAAAATGCACACATCAGTAAGGAGTTGAGAATTCTCTTTTAAAACTCAAACTCTCTGGGGAGTCCCAGAAACACCTGAGAGTGGAATTTAATGGGCTGAGATCCTGAATCACACAGGTGGGGCAGGAAGTGGTGGCATTGTAGGTACTACCATTAACGTGGCCTCATTTATGTGCCCAGGTGGATGAGAACTAGGTAATTCTTTATTTTTTTAACCTTTTTTTTTTTAAGATTTTGTATATTTAAGTAATCTCTACACCAAACATGGGACTCGAACCTACAACCCCAAGATCAAGAGTCACATGCTCTACCATTTGAGCCAGTCAGGCGCCCCTAGGTAATTCTTTTTAAGTACACAAAGGCAGATGACTCAAATCATGTTTTCATTCCTCCCTCCAACTCTCTCCCCTCCATATGCCCAAATAAACACTCAACTGAGAAGGAAAGAAGAATCCTTTAGTTCATGGTATTTGAAGGTCACAGATGATTCTTTTCCTCTCCTGAAAGGACCAACTTTCATGCACTAAATTTTTAATTTCTACCTGAGAGGAATTACAGGAGGGTGCACAGCAGCTCTGTTGATTTATAATTAATTGACCAATCTTTTTACTCCAGTCAGATATGAAAGAGCTAAAAAATAAGCCTTCAAAAAATTCCTCTTATACCCAATAATGGAGAAGCTGGCTCTGTCCTGTCTCTTGTGACAAGTTACAGTGTTTTGCCTTTTAAAAGCTTCACCCTAATTATAACATATAAAAAGCTTCATTTTGTCTCTAAAACAGATGTCTTAAAATAGGGGGGCAGTCAATAGGTGGGGAAGGAGGACAAGATGCAAGGCTTCAGAGGAAAGCATCAGGCTCTCCCACTGGGTCCTTCCCAGGGCAGTTTTGGGAGAAGAGCTCTTTGAAGTGTCAGGAGTCTATTAGTATGGAGAGGCCGAGGTTTCCAGGTGTTCAGAGTGGTGCTATTTTTATCATACCTTCTCTTGGCAAAAGGAATTAATACCATTTAAAAATGAGAGATTTGACTGATTTGTTTAGAAGCTAAGAGTATGCCCCAGTGACTGGATTCAGGAATGGGAACTGGTGTGCCCTATTAGAAGAAGCTTGGGAATGCGGGTCAGCAGCCCTGGGCTCTGGTTCTGGTGCTGCTGCTGCTTGGCTTGCTGGGTGACTTCTAGCTGGTGTTGAGCATCTCTGGTCCTGGTCAGTTCCTCTATCTACACGATGAAAGAGGATTTCTTTTATTTTACATTGTAAGACTTCGCATGAGGCTAAAAATATTGCTGACCAGGCTGGACAAAGAGCTGCAGTAAAACAGATGAAATTTAGCAAGCTCTAATGTCCCTGAAAATGTTAGGTCAGCTTCTATGATAAGATACAGAAAACCCACCACGTAAACACAGGAAGAGGGAGACGGACGTAGCTTCCTAACTCACTTGTGTAAAAGAGGACTTATGATGTGGCTGCTAAAAAAGCTGGCGCTCCTTTAGGTGACATTTTGAGGAAAACAGTAGTTAGAAAAAAGAAGGTAACCATCCCCCTCTGCTCTGTGCAGGTCAAGCCTGAGAGGAGGGACTTGTGCGGTCCAAGGGGGGCAGGGAATAGGCCTCATGGGAGACCCAAAGTCTCAGATGCCGATCCAAACAAGTAATAGGGCAGGCTGATGATGGAGTAGGTCAGATATGATCCCCCTAACTCACCCAGACATAATCATGTGATCTATCCAGAAATGGAGACACAAATAGTTCAGAATAGATGAGGTATGTGGTGAAATGGAAAAAAGTGAAGAGAAAGGAGGATGCAGAAGCAGGCAGAGTCAGGTCATGAAAAGCCTTGTGATCAATGTTAATGGTGTTTATCTTTAGAACGCCGGGAAGCTGCTGAAGGACTTTAAGCAGGGCAGTGATAGAATCAGAGGCGCCTTTTAGAAACATCCCTCTGGCTAATGGTAAAGAGGGTGGGTTGGGAGGTGATAAAGAGAAAGAAAAATGTCCTTAGCTGTATCCCAAGTAGCAGGGGCTGTGTTGATGGGCTACAGCCAGATTAAACAGGAGGGAATAGAAAGGGCCAAGTTTGAGAAACATTTAGGAAGCACAATTCATAGCCTCTGGTGACTGAATGGATGTGCAGGGTGAGGGAGGGAAGAATACAGGCTGATGCTCACATTTCTCACTTGGACAACTGCACAGTTGATGGACAGTAGCTCCCGTCACTGAGGCCAGGGACACAGGAGGAAGAGATCTCGGCATGGGCCTGTGTGTGATGACCTTGGTATGATTAAGTAAAATATACAGGCTCATAGTTCAGAAGAGGGATGTGAAGTAGAGATATAAAGAAGACTTGGGAAAGGATGAAACCACGAAGAAAGATTATAAAAATTAAGAAAAACAGTGGGTTGAGAGTGGACAACTGAGGACTATCAACATTGAAGAGGCTGCCAAAGAAGAGGAATCCACAGAGCATTTTGAGTGTGGACACACAAGTGGGAAGAGAATAACAGTAATACTTGTTTGGAGCCTCACAGCTTTCAAAGCACAATTATTTCAACTGATACTCTGATGTAAGTAGGAGTACATTTATTCTCCCCATCTTATATATAAGGAAATAGAAATACCCAGTGGTGGAACCTTGCCTTACTTTATGCAACAAGGCTTCCCACTGAAAACAACTAAAATGATGAATAAAACCTAAAAAGAAAAAAGATTCATTTAAAAACATGTAAGAGATGTGAAGACAGTAAAGCAGTAGTATGCCAAAATCTAAAAATCCAGAGACAGAAACGGAGCATAAGAAGCCACATTTGCCTTTCAGACACTTGCTGATCTTGTTGAAACAGCATGTAATTGGAGACCCCCTATACCAATGTAGGATCCTAAAGAGACATACACTCAGGAGAGCGAGAACTAGCCCTAAACCCATGCTCCTCATCCCACAGCTAGGGGAAAACTGCCTTGGAATGAAAAGAAGGGAAGGGGGAGGGCAGACTGGTCCTCTTGCAAAACTGTAGCCCAAATTTGTATCATCTGAGTGGCTCAGAGACTATCCAGGCTAGTTTAGTTTAAAATGGTTCCATACTGAGTGCCCCTAGGCACCTGGCCAAAATAAATGGAAAGGTTTATGGTATTGCAGACTAAATAATGTGGGCCAACTCTCTCTTGAGTATATGCTAGAAAATCCAGACAAAATATATATATTAAAAACAATTTTCTTTAAGGCATCTGGGAACTAACAAGCTGTGAGAAATTAGGGGGCTAAGATTTGGAAAAAGAAGGACATCAAAGGGGATCTTGCAACACTTGGGGTCTCTTTTCCCCTAGGGCTATCTGCTAACTCCAGAAGTGGCAGAGAGGCTGAGATGCTGAGCAGAGATTCTGACAACCTTGCTAGTCTAGGGGCCAAGAGTCCAGGGTGCACCAGAGAAGGGGATTCCTGATAAACTTGCTTTAAGTTAGGGCAATGAAGAACTAAATCCTAGGGGGAGGTGTGACCTAGAAACAGTGTGGTCCTTGCAGAGACTGAAGACTAGCTTCAAATAATTATGTGTGAACCATACAATCAAAAAAAAAAAATCTAGAGCTGGTGAGAATAAAAATGATTTGAGTTGCCCAAAGGGAGAGTCACAGCCTCTCACTCAGTTTCCTATTTACATTTAAATTAAAAACAATTAAACTTAAATAAAAGTAAAAATTCAGTTCTTCAGTCACACTGATATTTCAAGTGCTTAATCTGACTGATGGCTACCATATTGGACAATGCAGATATAGAACATTGCCAACATTGCAGAAAATTCTATCAGACAGTCCGAAACCAGGCCTTTCAAGGATTACTAGACAATATCTGCAAATTGGTGCTAAAGGCTGGGGATATGAAAGGTATGGTGGTCTATCACTCAAAGTAGGGGATTATGGAAGAATGGAAATTTAGCCTATGAATGAACCCAGTGAAGTCATCAACCTACTTTGTGGTTATCTCCCCAGTTCCTGAATGTATAATTAGAATAGACATACTAAGCAAATGACAGAAGAAACACCTTTGTTTACTAACCAACAAAGTGACGGCCATTACAGAAGGAAGGGACAAATTGAAACCCCAGGAAATCTGCTGCTAGAACAGTAAGACTACAGTTATTCCGCATCCCTGAGGTAACTACAGAGACTACTGCCATCACTAAAGATAAGAACAGTAAAAGGATATTGAGTCTTATGATATTCCTGCTTAACTTGTTTATTTGGCTTGCATAGAAGACAGATCATGAAGAATGACTACAGATTACTGCAGACTCAATCAAGTGGTGACTCCAATTTCAGCTGCTGCCCCACATGTGGACTCTTCTTACTACAGTACATTAACACAGCCCCTGGCACTTGGGACACAGCTAAGGACCCATCAAATGTTTCTTTCTCTTTATTGATGAACAAGAACTGTCAGAAGCAGTCTGCTTTTGCCTGACAGGGACAACA